TAATCTGACTGTCTCAAAAAAACTAAACCAAACCAAAACAACAGTAAAGCCATGAAAAAGAGCAACAAAACCTCCATTGTAATCACAGGAATAAAACTTGGTCATTAAATAAGGAGTGTCTATATTTATTGAGTATCAGGGAATTTTCAAGTTTCACAATAGAAACGGTTCCTGTTTCACCTGTGCCTGAATTATTATTAGCAAACAGAATTTTGGAAAAGTTTGTTTGAAAGGAGGCTTTTAAAACTTAGTAAGACCAGATATAGAGCTGTTACAGTATTGCTATTTAAGGGTAGTGAATCACTTTTCAGAAGTTTGTATGTGATGAGAGGTCGTAGAGATAGGGTGGGGAGGAGACAGAAGACAGAGACGGCAGGAACGTTTTTGTTTAATGTAGGTGTTCTCCCTTCCTGGGCATACTAAAATCTTTGGGGGTAGGGAGTTTCAAGGAAAATGTGGCGTGTGTGTTTAGAGAGGTTCTTCAGGGACTCTGTCCTAGAAATAAGTTATAGGGATGTCAGAAAGAAGGAGTTTTACATTATAAAACAACTGAAAACTAAAGCCATATGTCATAGAAAGTACTAACTGTTTTTCTTTGAGTCCTGGGATAGAAGTGGCTGGGATTGGGAGACAGCCTTGTCTCTGTTCTGTTAGGGAAAGAGAAGGGAAGCGGATATAACAAATACACCTTGCTGTAAGGAACAGTTCTGTCCAGGTTGGACCGAATTAATGTTAGTACCTGTACATCCTTTAGTGCATGTTTTGTGAGAACTAGGGTCTCCTAAAATGTCCTGACGAGAAATACGAAGGCCACTCCTGATGAACATTTGCGGGTTTGCACGCACACTACTGCAGCTACATAAATATACTTCGTCCATCGGTGGCTAGGAAAAGTGAAACACAGTGTGAGCACACATGCAGCACCCAGAACGAATGTGTGAGGTGCTGTTAGCACCGCTTTACTCAAATGAAAGGCCTCACGCAGATTGCCCTTAGAGGGCCTCTACGTAAGGGAAAGAAAGTGCCCCTGGGCACAGGAAAGGAGGCTTTGGCAATAGAGCTACACTGAACGGGTGTAGAGTTTCTTTCTCTCAAACCATGTTTGCCGCCTTGTTCAGGTTCCTCCATAGGAGACAACCCGTGCCTAACGTCATGGGTAGTGTGAGGATTAAGGAATCCTTTCTGTGGTACGCCACTGCTGCAAATGGTAGCTTGCCTTTTTTTGGTCCACTGGTCCCGAAGGAGTTGAGAACCATAGAACTATGTGATTTTCACATCTCTATTCAAAATGTATCGGGTATCTACACTATGTCTAGAGAGGGAAAAGTAAGTTGGGAAGACAATTTTTTTCCTGAAAGTGGAGGGAGAACATCTTTAACACACACTTACATATATCCAAGTGACTCAAAACAATCACATCAGACTACTGAAAGGGGAGAAGAGTTGACTGTTCAAGTGATAAATCAGTAAAAAGTAGCTAGAATCTCTAAATAACAGTGGAGTTTGTAAACTTAATTGTATGGTGGCTTGCCTAGGACAATTTATTTTAAAACCCCCATTTGCTGTCTTTAGGACTTTTCTCATAGACTCATCATATTACTCAGCTCTGACTCTTCTCATTTCATGCCTGGGGAACAGGATCATGGCTGAAAACACAGGCTCTGTAGAAAAGAAGCAGTCTGGGAAATACAGTCCTTGTTACCTAAACTTGTCCTTAATCCTGTCAATTTCAGTATGGTTGCACCTCCCAGAATGCATCAGGAGTCCCCTGGTGCAGAAAATGCTGTTACTCTTCGAAGAGTAAAACACTTTTCCCAGCAGTAAAGAGAGGAGAAAGGAAGAATATCCAGAGGTCAAGCTTCTTCTTGAGTAGACTTCCAGCGGCCCTTCTGTTGTTAATGCCCACCTCGCCCCCAGGAATCTGCTGTCTTCACTTTTGGAGGGTCGCCATTCCTTTAGTTTGCCTGTTGGCTTTTTCTACTGCTGGTTTTTCCACCCTGCTTTATTCATCGCTGAGCAGGTTACCACTCCTCCATCTGCTTTTCAGCTTTAAAGGTTTTATTTATCTGATCATTTCCTCTAGTCCCTTTTTCCATTAGGTTTAAGTCTGTTAAAATGAGTTCATTGATTCCATTTTTAGTGGGAAGCAGCAGTTAGTGTATGCATTCAATGTGCCATCCTTAACAGCATTGTTTACTTTTTAAGGATCTAGTTTAACTTGTGGTTTTGTCAAGTTTTCCTTTTATATGCATGCACATCTGTTCTTTTTTTTCATTATGAATTTGGGTTTTCATCAAAACTACAAAGTTTGACATTAAAATGATCTTCTACACTTATTTCTAATACTTTTTAGTTTTTTAGTATAAGAAAATGGCTTTGTGTATTTCATAGAGGTATAATGATCTTGTTTTTTTAATAATTGATAGCCCTTGAAGAATTTGAATCAATAATTTAAAATCTCTGTACTCAGAAAAAGTCCTAATTAAGTCCTAATACTTAATTAGGACTTTTCCAGCCCTTTACTCACTATACTATTGTTCACATATTTTAAAAATATTTATTTTACAGTGTTTTGTATTTTTGACTTAGTGATACTGTACTACTTTTTATGTAAATCTATTTGGTTTTTCTGTCTTTCTTAGTGACAGCATGAGAAATTCTCTCCTTTTTTATGGAATTCCACTGAACTGCATATTTTTAGCCAAAAATCTGAAAATTCACCCCTAAAAAATTACAGTTTTTGAATCAGTATTTCTAACAGTTTTTACTTAGTCTCATTTTTGTAAATGATGTTTAAAAATTACACCTTTAAACTTTTTGGTTATATAGAAATATAAATAGTTTTCTGTTGATTTTATAAGAGCTGTCCTATCTCTTGTTTCTTATTCTAATAATTTCTCTGTATATGTTCTTTTGAGTTTTTGATACCGTCAAATCATCTGTGGGTAATGATTTGTTGTTTCTTCGTGTCCAATGTTTTGGTCTTTTATTTCCTTTCCTTGTTTAATTGAGCTGAATGAGACTTGTTTGTTTTGAGACAAGGTCTCACTATATAGTTCAGGCTGGTCCTGAACTCACTTTGTAGTCTACACTGGTTTTTAGCTCACGGCAGTCCTCTTACCTCAGGCTCCCACATGCTGGGATTGTAGGCATGCACCATCATGCCTGGCCACACAGAAGATTTATTATACTACGTACAAATGAGTTTTTAAGTAAGAGCTTTTTCTGCTTTGACATTGATTTTTCAGCTTAGATTTATTATTGAAGTGAATTGCATTATAGGTTTTCTGATGTTGACTAAACCTTGCAACCTATGTGAGCTCAACTTAGTAATTATGAATTTTCATTTTTTTCCCAAACACTGCTGATTTGGATTGCTAATACTTAATTAGGACTTTTTATATTACTGTTTATGAGCAGAAATGGGTTGAAATTTACATTTTTGTGATGCCATTGACAAGTTTTATATCAGCGATATACTAGCTTCATAAAATGCGATAAGGAATGCTTCTATTTTCTCTGTTCTAGAAAGTTTAAGTAAAGCTGAGACTGTCTAAGTCTCCTGAATTTTTGGTAGGATCCTTGCAAGATCAAAAAGGCTTTGTGTTTTCTGAGTACCGAGATTTTAAATTATTGATTCAAATTCTTCAATAGTTGTAGGAATATTCAGGCTGTATTATTTATTTTTTGAGCATTGGTAGTTTATATTTTTATAGTATTTTCCACATAATCTAAGCTTTCTGATTTGTTAAGAAATTATTTGTACCAGACCCCTAGTATCTGTCTAATCTTTGCAATTGTTTCTGCTTTCTATGGTTAATACTATTTATTTGTCCTTTCTCTTGATCAGTCTGACTGGAGATTTATGTGTTTTTATTAGTTATTTCTAAGAACCAGTTGTTAGCTTTGTGGATAAAACAGTATAGTATTAGTAGTTAACTTTCCTTGTCCTTGAGATACAGTATCTACCCCGATTTAAGAGTTTTACTGTAACTTAGCCCACATTTTAGAAATTTCAGTCCTTACAGGGCAGAGGGGCGTGGTAGAGGAGACTGCTCCTGGCTTAGTGGCAGGAAGCAGAGCGTGAAAGGAGAGTGCAGGCAGACCCTCCCAGGACAAGCTCCCGTGACCCCCCTCTTCCTGCTAGGCCCCACCTTTTAATAGCAAGTCAACTATGAGCCTGTTACGCGCTCGCCTTCTGAAAGGACCCATGTGAGAGCATGAGGCTCTTGGGGGACATCTAGATGTAAACCGTAAGCTACATATAAACTGCGTATTTTACCTGTGCTTTCAGTTTAATGTTATTAAGTTCTTGTTTGTTTATTATTTAGAATCATTGGGTCTTCACTATGCCTGTTCCTTAACTTCCATCTTCTTTTCTAAAACAAGTTGAGCATCCCCAATCACAAACTGAAATCTAAATTTTTAAAAATTTAATTTGGGTGCTGGTTGGGTGCTGAGGATTAAGCACAGGGCTTTGCACATGCTAAGGAGCACTCTACCACTGAACTGCATATTTTTAGCCAAAAATCTGAAACTTTTTGAGTACAAGCATGATGCTCTCTGTACGATGGTAACAGTCAAAACACAAGTAAAAGTACTGTGAAAGTTACCTTCAAACTATGTGTATAATGTATATATAAATCTTAAGTGAATTTGTGTTTAAACTTGGATCCTATTCCTAGAGATCACATGCATATGCAAATATTTTTAAAAATTCAAAATATTTTTGGGTGCAAATATTGGGACAATATTGAAAAAAACAAAAATAAAACAGTGTAAGCATGTAAGGTTGCATCTTTTCCTACCTTTTGTATTAATGTGTATGTAACATTACAAAATTGTCAGCTGAAGTGCAGAAAAGGATCTCATCTGACCTCTAAACAGCCACTGTCAGTTGCACCGAGATCCATAGTGTTCATTGTGTCAGCTTGGAGGATTCTGATGTGTACATGACTAAAGAATACTAATACTGTTTAATGTCATCTTCCTTCCTATAGGATTCCCCTTTATTTGATCTTATTAAACAGTCAAAAGATCGAGAAGGACCAGCTGACCACCTTGAATCTGCTTGTCCTCTCAACCTTCCTCTTCAAAATAATCACACTGCGGCTGATATGTAAGTGGGATATATATTATCTTATCAAACTAAAAACTGATTTTGAGCATAAGGGTAATACAAGACTATGTAGAAATTGTAGAGAACTGAATTTTTGCATATGACATTGTTCCTCCTTTTAAAATTAGGAAACTAAGATATATGACCTAAATAAAGTCACGTAAAGGAATTTAAAGTGCTAATGAACCACATGGAATTGGTGTAAGGAGGGGCAATTTTCACAGAAAAAATGGCAGTTCAGATGGGTCTTAAAATTTAAATAGGATTTCAACATGAAAATTGAAGAGAGGAGATAGAATAGATTTTCAAGAGCCAGAAATGTCATGTGCCCACAACAGCCAGAGAGGGCAGAAACATTGTCTAGAGTGCAGATCAGTTCATCTACAGTGAAGCGTAGGTAAATCCAGGAAGAAGTGTAGGCTGTGGACCGACACAGTTGGCTGCTGCACGGTAGTAACAAGGCGTGGGAAGCACAGCTCACGTGCGTTGAGGGCTCTCTGTGCTCTGCCAGTGACCCACATGCCTTAGATTCATGTTTCTCATTTGACTTCCATGCCACCTCTATACGGTAATAGTTACTTCTCCAGTTATCTATAAAATAAGACTTAGAGAAATAAGGTAACTAGCCTAAGGTCAACAGAACTCTAACCAAGCAATCTGACCCCAAAATCCATGTTCTGAATCACCCTGGCTATATTAACCTTTCATAGAAACTCACCGTTATGTTTCTATTTAGTTCTATGTAGGACCTGGCATTATTACAGTGTTCTGTGAGTAACATAAAGACCACTTTTCAGAGGTGTCAGGCACTGCTAACTTGTATGCACAGTATTTCTGCATTCATGTAGACTTCCTACCCGTTTGTTTGTAGATAACACTTTCATATAAGTCAAGCCTTTTTAATCAGTTAAGTGCCAGGAAGACAAAAAATAAAATGAATGGTCTAGGTCCTTCCTGCTCATAGAGTTTTACATTCTGGAGGAAGAAACCAGTAAACAAACTAATACAAAAATTGATTTTAGATTTTAAGTGGTGTAAATTAAACTAACAGAGTGATGTGAAAGAAAGGTGAAAGGATGATAAACATTTAGGAACACTCTTTTCTTCCAATGAAGTGATATTTTGACCTGAAGGAGCCCCGCAAAAATCTCATGTTGTAGGGCAGATAGAACTTGGCTTGTTTGAGGACTAGAAAGAAGGCCACTGTGAATGGGGTGTCATGCGCAAGAGGACAGAGGCGCAGGTGAAGCCGGAGACACGTTCTGGCCCTCTTCGGGGCCCGACTACAGTAGGAGCTAGTAAGGAGTTTGCTGTATAAGGGTAAGGGCAACCACTATAGCAAGATGCAGCTTGCTATAACTTTCTTTTGTACCGGGGATCGAACTCATGACCTTGCACTTGCCAGGCAGGCACTTACACTACTGAGCTAAATCCCTGGCCCTATAACTTATATTTTTAAAGGACCTCTCTCTGACTGATGTTTGAAGATACAGATGGGTTTAGGGAAGATAAAAGATCAGGGCAAGGAAATAAGTGGGTAGATTGTTCAAAAGAGACATGTGAGTGATTTGGTCTAAGACATAGCATTAAAGATAGAAGTGGGGGATTAGAGATAGATTTAATTTAACAGATTTTACATCGAGTGTGAGGAACTGGGAAAATGGAGAAATTAAGATGTAATTCCTGAGGTTTTTTTTCTTAACTTTAAAATACTAGATATAATGTGAAACCATTCTTTTTTTTTTTTGGTGGTCTTTTTCCTTTTTTATCGGTACTGGGAATTAAACTCACGACTGCCTGCTTGCAAGGCAGGCGCTTATGCCGCTGAGCTAAATCCCCAGCCCCTGTGAAACCATTCTTTGAGATGGGGAAAACCAAGTGTAATCCCAGACCACAAGAGGCTGAGGTAAAAGGATCAGAAGTTTGAGCCCAGACCGAGCAACTTAGCAATTTAGTGAGATCCTGTCTCAAAATTTAAAAAATTTAAAAATGGTGATATAGTTCAATACAGAGGCCCACGGTTCAACTCAAATGTCCAAAAAAAAAAAAAAAAAAAAAAATCCACACAAACTCAAACTTTAAGTTTTTTGACTTTAAAATACTAGGTATAATGTTGAGTCATTTTTTGAGATAGGAAGAAATACAACATTCTCTTTGGCCATATTAAGTCTGAGATTAAAGTAATGAAAGCCATTAGTTAATTGGATATTTGCATCTGGAATTCAAAAGAGATTAATGCTTACTCAAGTGAAGTCATTATATAATTATCAGTTAGGAACTGCAGGGAAGGCATTCCGAAGGGGATAGGAGGCCTCATACAGTGTTGGTGCTTAGGAAGAGCCCTGTGAGGTTGAGTCCCTTTTCCCAGTGCACTCATTAGTAAACTGTATGTAGTAGAAATATGTCCATAGTAAGGTACAGATCCAACTTGTTCAGCCTTAATTTTAGCTATTAAAATCAGCAAATAGGCATGGGTTATTTTGCTAAATCAAGAGTAACACAGAGCAATAGACTTGCTATAAATTGAAAGGTAATATTTGCTAATATCCCTGCCTTGATTTATACCTGTCATATTTAGTATAATCTGTCTTAATGATATTACTTGAAGTATTAAGTCATAAAATTGTATACTTTATAATTTAGAGGTAGGTGTGTGTATGATTTAAGTCTTATACATATGAACCATAGTTATCAATTACAAAACCAATAGGAGAATAAGAGAGCTTTTACAACACTATTGGGTGTAAATAACTTATTTTTTAAAACCAGAGTCATTTTCTGGTGTCAGTTACATTGTAATTACTAAAACAGAAAACTATTATGTACAACTATTTTTCCCAATAAGTCAGCTAATTCTTAGGGAAAGCTACTTATTAAAACATAGTTAGATATGAGGATGAAAAAGCATAATTTTCCCAGTAAGCCTTTTTTCTAGTTTGCATTTGAAATAGTCTGCTCAGAGAATTTGGTATAGGATAACAGATTAAACAGGTAGTATGTGTCTGACTGTACGTGTGCAATGTGTGTGTGTGTGTGCGCACTCGTCATTTTTAGCAAACTCCAGGTGAAGACTTTTCCTTTGAATACTCTAGGTATCTTTCTCCTATAAGATCACCAAAGAAAAAAGGTTCAACTACACGTGGAAATTCCACTGCGAATGCAGAGACACAAGCAACCTCAGCCTTCCAGACCCAGAGACCATTGAAATCTACCTCCCTTTCCCTTTTTTATAAAAAAGGTCAGTAGATTACTTTCAACAGCATGTACTCTAAATTCAGGCTGACTAGGTTTAAGTCGTGGCTGTTTTACTTAGAATAAGCAGGTCCTAATACCTCTATTTCTCAGTTTCTTCATCTGTGAAACGGAAAGGGTAATAACAGTAATCTATCCTCTAATCATAGTTACATTATACCATTTTTGAGATAACAGAGTGAATTAACACATTTACAACTGGACCATAATTCATATGTTTCACTGCTGATTGCTTGAGCCACCTGTGGTACATGCATGACCGTTCCATGTGTGACTCTATCACTTCTGCCAGCAGTGATACAAGCCACGCAGTGGGACAAGCGTGGATCTCACCACTGGTTCAAGCTGGCAGGGGCATGTTAATGCATAGAAAATGCTTCCAATGTTTCTGTTCACTTATTCATTAGGAAAACAATGAAAGAGCTGAGAGTACTATTAAAATATTGTTGAGCAGCATTATGGTTGGAACAATCTAATGCTTTGCAAAATATCCGTTTGTAATTGAAAATGAAAAGCAGACTTTGCATTCTCCTTATCTCCACAGTGTACCGATTAGCGTACCTCCGACTAAATACTCTGTGTGCACGCCTTCTGTCTGACCATCCGGAACTAGAACACATCATCTGGACCCTTTTCCAGCACACACTACAGAATGAGTACGAGCTCATGAGAGATAGGCATTTGGACCAAGTAAGAAATTCATGCACTTCATTTTTTTTCCTCCCTTCTGACTTGTGATGTATCAGTTTCTTAAGAATAGATTGGATTCAATAAGAAGCTAGATTAACCTAGTACACTTTTGATATATTTGCTTGTTAGCTACCATTTATATTTTTGTTATAACTTTTAAAATTACAGTTGTAGAGTTTAAAAGTATATTTCAGGAACTACTTATTTAATGACACAGCATTCTTATTTATAAAATGACTGAAGAACTTGTTTATCGTAATCTTTACTGTGTTGTAATAAGCTGGATTTCATTTTAGCATGGAAAATGCAGGAAATTTAAGAATCAATGGGTCTAAATGATGCCTGTTCTATAAATGAACCAGTGAATGAATGAATGATGAGTGAGTGAATGAAAGAATAATGAACTTCGTTTTGTTGTTGTTGTGGATAGTGATTCAATGTACTTTTCATTTTGTGTGGCTTGTTTTTGTTTGATGTTTTCTGTAGTGCTGGGGGTTGAACTCAGGACCTCAGACACGCTAGGCAAACCCTCTGCTTACTGAGCAATCCTTCTGTTCCTCCTCCCCAGCACTATTTCTTTCCACTGAAAGTTTTTGAAAAATTAACTGATTATTAATGTATAAATGTTTATTTCTTGACTTAATTCTATTCTGTTGACCTACATAGCTATTCTTTTACCAGGTCAATACTGCTTGGGTTACTGTAGCTTTGTAGTAGTCTTCAAATAAGGAGGTATCACTGCTCTTTGTTCTTCGTTTTCAAGATTGACTTAACTATCATGAAACTTGCATTTCCAGTGAATTTTAGGATTGAATTGTCAGTTTCTGCAGAGAAGACTTTGAAGGAAGTTACATTGAGACAAAGTTTAATTTGGGGAACATTGTCATTTTAACAACTTTTAGTCTTCCAATTTATGACCATTGCATATGTTTCCATTCATTTAGACCCTCTTTAGTTTTTTGAATGTTTCACTTGTTTTGTTGAATTTATTCCTAAGTATTTTATTCTTTAATAATATTATGAATGGAATTATTTCCTTAATTTCAATTTTGGATTATACATTGCAAATATACTAAAATGTAATTGAATTTTACACAGTGATTTTATAACTTACAACCCTGATGAATTTGCTTATTAGTTCTAAAATTTTTTAGTGGGTTCTTGTAAGATTTTCTATACATAAGACATGTCATCTAAACAGAGAGGTAGTTTTTACTTATTTACTTATTTATTTATTTGGTACTGGGGATTGAACTCATGACCTCATGTTTGCCAGGCAGGAGCTTTTCTTTTTAATCTAATTTTATTTAGTTTGACGATGGTTCCTTATCTATCTCTTATCCTGAGTGGGTGTTGGATTTTTGTCAAATGCTTTCTCTGTATATATTGAGATAATCAAGTGAGATTTTCCTTTTATTATATTGACATGGTATATTATATTGATTTTCTAATGTTAAATTCATCTTGCAGTTCAGGAATAAATCTCATTTGGTTATACTGTATATCCTTTTAGTATATTCCCAGATTCAACTTGGCTACTCTTTAATGAGCATGTTTGCCTACATAATAAATATTAGTAGTTTTTAAATGATGTTTTTATTTGGTTTTGCTATCAGAGAAATACTAGTCTCAGTTGGGGACTTGTCTGCCTTCAGAAAGTTTGTAAGAATTTGTATTGAGTCTTCTTTCAGTATTTGGTAGAACTGAATCTCCTTTTACTATTTGGTGAATCCATCTGGACCTAGGCTTTTTGATTATTAATTCAAGATCAGACTTTCTGTTCCTTCTTGAATCAGTTTTGGTAGTATTTGTCATTGTAGGAGTATGTCCATTGCATCTTACTTACACATTTTATTGGTACAGAGGTGTTCATAACATTCCCATATAACTCTTTTATTTCTGTAAAATTGGTGATAATATTCCCAATAAGAAATATGCTGAGCAAATGATGGATTATTTCATAAAGATACAGTCAACAAATATACATATTTTATAAGAGCCTATTCAGATTATATAAATTCCAGTATCCTGAATTTTTAAAAATAAGCACTTGCTGGGTGTGGTGGCAGTCACAGCACTCAGGAGGCTGAGGCAAGAGGATTACTGTAAGTTTGAAGCCATTCTGGGCTACATAGTTGATTTCAAGGATGACCTGGACTACATAGAGAGATCCTAACTCAAAATAAATAAGCACTTGTAAGTACCTAGAGTAATAAAATATTTTTAAAAATCAAAATTTATAACATAGACATTGATTATTCTTATGGTCCTTCTGCTTTCAATGACATAGCAAGAGAGACATTAGTGGTGTGGATTTCTAAGGAGAGTAGATGTCTGGTACCAAGATTTCTTGAGTGATGCTGTAAGTATTAAAGTAGAAAAAAAGCAAAGTGAATACTGAAAGGCATTCCAAGTGCCAGCGATACTAGATTTGGGACGGTGGGATGCTGAGAAAGAGATTGATACTATTCTGGGCAACCGCATGTGCAGAGAAGAATGTGGCTGAAGTCGTAAGTACTTAAATTAGACAAAAAGTTGATATAGATTGAGGAAGTCTGTCGTTTTTACATCACAGGGATTACAATTACATCTTACTTTTGCATTTAAAACATTTTTTGACATGTAATACACTATTCAGAAAAATCCGCGTGTGAGGGTCTATTATAATGACAATTCAGCAGCTGCAGCCGTCTACATTACTAGCATTTGGACCAAGATTTCCTCCTCCGAAGCCTCCCTTTGCCCTGCATCCAGTCACCACGCTTTCCTTGCCAACAGCACCACGACTTCTCAGTGTTGTTTTACCTGGTAGTTTGAGACTTTTTCATGCTTGAGGCTTTTGGAGTGCTGATTACACAGTTAACTGACCCCTGCTTCAGCGTTTCTCCTCTGGGAAACATTAAAGAACACGGACCGAATCCGGCTCGTTTACAAACCGGACAATCAGCTCTGAATAACTAAGAGTTGTTGGGTGTGTGCGTTTGGTTCTTCTTTGTGTTTTGTTGGGTTAAACATTTTCACGTAGACATTCAATCCAAGCTTTGGTTGGGAGGGGAAACCTTATAGAAATTAAGTTTCCCTCTTTTGAAGCTAAAAGAAAGATGACCGAATGCTTTTAAAATTCTATTTTTATATTACCTTTATTTACTAGATTATGATGTGTTCTATGTATGGAATATGCAAAGTGAAGAACATAGACCTTAAATTCAAAATTATTGTAACTGCGTACAAAGACCTTCCTCATGCTGTTCAGGAGGTAGGTAATGTCTCATGGTAAGATTTATTTAGATAAATCCACATCTGTAATACAGATAATTTCAGTCATTAAATCATATATTATGATCATATGTAAATTTGCAAATTAAAAATTTAATATTGTTGGTTAATTATTTGTAACTAAAATGGAATTGGTAAGCTAAAGCAAATTATGAAATTAATCAAATTCATAGTTTGTATTAGCAAATAATACTGTATCCTCCAGTGAGTAGGCTATTTGTAATAAACTTGATATAATTAGGATATTAAATGTTGTTAGTTATTTTTATTCCTCCATAGGGACAGCCAGTGTAAATACAGCCTTCAGAAATAACATCAGTGTAAACATATTCTGTTTCCAGTTTACCTTCCTGGTAGAGAAGCATTAGTAGTAAAATACACTTGGTATGAAACACATTTTATACTCTTCCGTGACAGGTGAGTTGTGGATTATTTTCCAGTTTACCTTTGGCGTTTTCAAAAGTAATATAAAATAGATCATTTCAGTTTATATATTTGAAATTATTTTCTAAACCCAGTCATTCCAATTCTGTGTTTCAGAAGCATCCTAGAAAATCTTTGTTTAGCCTGATGTTGCGATGTACCCCTATAACCCCAGCACACCAGGAGACTAAGCAGGAGGATCACGAGCTTGAGCCTAGCCTGGGCAACATAGCAACTTAGTGAGAACCCATCTCAAAATAAAAAATAAAACACTGAGCATGTAGTTCACCATAGAGGCCCTTGGCTCAGTTCCAGTGTCACAAATAAATACATAAATAAACAAATAAAATAAAACCCTTGTACTTTTATATAACTAAAACTTTGGCAGAATCTAGCTGTTCAAAAAATAGCTTCTACTGAATGACTGCTTCTCACAATAGAGTAGTGTGTATTTCTTGAACCCTTGACATGAGAGAGATGCAGGGAGTTACAGACAAAGAAATATACTCTAACGGTTGATGGATAATATTGTTGGTTTTCTTCCAGCTCTGGTTGTTTGGTTCCCAAAATGCCTTTTGTTCTGGCAGCCTGTCCACTGCTGTCTGTGGGGAGGCCCAGCTGAGTCACCTGCTGCAGCGTGGCTGCTTCTCGGGACTGTTCTGTGCCCTGCACTTCTGACAGAGCACCCAGAGTCAAAGCCAAGCAAGGCTTTTCCAGATTATTTTTTCTTGTGTAATATGTGCTTTTTACTAATTAAAGAATATTACAAACTGTTAGAAAAGGAAATATAAAGAGAAATTCTTAGATTTATTTAATATGTGTTTTTCTTATTCTTCCTCAGACATTCAAAAGAGTTTTGATAAGAGAAGACGAGTACGATTCCATTATAGTGTTCTACAATTCAGTGTTCATGCAGAGACTGAAAACAAACATTTTGCAGTATGCTTCCACGAGGGTATGTGGACAGTGTCATCTGGGGGAAAGCTAATTATAAAGAACTAGATCTCACTGAAACATTAAATAAAATTAAATTTACTTTCTTGGTTTTGCTGTAGCCTCCTACCTTGTCACCAATACCTCACATTCCTCGAAGCCCTTACAAGTTTTCTAGTTCACCCTTACGAATTCCTGGGGGGAACATCTATATATCACCCTTGAAGAGTCCGTACAAAATTTCAGAAGGTTTACCAACGCCAACAAAGATTACTCCGACATCAAGGTTGGTGTTTTCTCTTAAGGAAATAAATAGTACAATAAATAAATAAGACGGGAACATTTTTATCCAAGCATAGAAGTGTTTAGAAGAAGCTAGACTTTTAGATTCTAATTTTCTAATTTATATTTGAAATGGTAAGAATTTGACACAAAAGAAAGTCTGTTTACTTGAATGACTTTACAGATTTAGCCAACTTTCTTGGCTGCTGGGATCTTGTCTTTTGTAGACAGTCTGAGAACCAGTTTGGTTATATATTTCAAAACATTTTAGTATTTTTGTAAGTAGTCAACCTGCTAAACCAAGTAGACTACGCAGACTACTTTAGCTAGCAATTTTTATTCAGTACCTTCCTGAATTTCCATAACTTCTTCCATAGACCGGGACCATTTTCCTTGTTATCACCATGAAGATAACTTATTAAATGTAGATGACTGTCAATTAAGTCTTCAGAAGTCCCTGTTAATTCCGCCTTCGGCCTCCTTGTGTTACCTTGGCACCAGCTCTGTCTCTGCTTGACAAGGTGCTGCAGACTGGGCAGTGGCGAGTGCAGAGCTCTATTAAATTCTTAGATGAAAGGTCTGTACAGCCACAATCATCACATTACCTTCCACGTCCAAACACAAGTACGCTCTGCCTTTGAAGGTCTTCAATTTACTAATTAGATGTCATCATGGGCTGTTTGAAAATGATTTTATTTGTATAAAGAGGCTGATAAGCTAGTATAGTTAATGTGCTCTCATCTCAGACATTGTCAGCCCACATAGCTTTACTGGACGGGCAAGAAAAGCAAACAAGGAGAAGGGGCCGTAGGAGATTGCTAAGGAATATGTGTGTGGTGGCTTCAGTGACATGACTAATGCACTGTGATTAAATGACATGCACTGCTGGAAAATATTAAGTGAAAAATAATGAAAATATGGTGGGGCTGGGGATGTAGCTCAGCGGCATAAGCGCCTGCCTCGCAAGCAGGCAGTCATGAGTTCGATCCCCGGTACCGATAAAAAGGAAAAAAAAGAAAGAAAATATGATGAAGGCATTCTTGTGTGTCCCTGTAGCCTGCTTTATTTATTTGGTGTTTTTATAGATGGTTATCTGTGTACTGATATCTACAGCTTACATTATGAGCATGTAAGATGTCATATCATGTCTGTTTAAGTACATTTATACACATAAAAATGTATATGTAGGTAGTTTTTAATGATGATAATTAATCCGTATTATGGTAGTAATGAACTCAATACTGTGTTCTTTAGCAAAAAAAGTCACATACCTAAGCCAAGCATTACATGCCTGTAATCCTAGCACTCAGGAGACTGAGGCAGGAGAGTTGCTATGAGTTCAAGGCCAGCCTGGGCTACATAGTTCAGGACCAGCCTGAACAACATAATGGGACCCTGTCTCAAAAAAAAAAAAAAAATCATATATTCTAACTAATAAGTCATTGATCAGGTGTCAAGAAAGCATCTTAATACTCTGTTTATGCAACACATTTACTCACATGGTTAATCAAATATTTTACATAGATGATGGCCATTATTGAGGGAATGAAAGATAAAGTCTTCATATGCATGTACCAGTTTCATGTGCATATTTTAAACCATTATGTGAGGAATGCTGTCTTCCAGCTTTACTATCAAGATCATAAACTATATGGTTCAAACACAATTTGTGGAGATTTCTGATCAGGGATATATAATAAATGAACTTTATGACAGATCTTAATTACAATTCTGATTACTACTTAGTACTGTAACTTGAATTCCAGATGAGAAAATGTGAAATATATTGGATGATTTATAGATTTATGAAGAGCTGTGTCGGGGTAAACTTAAAACTTTCTTTTACCTTCTTTAAATGGGACAGTGGCAGAAAATGTTCTTACAGACCGAGAATTCTTGCTTTTAAAACTGGGAGAAGGAGACGGGCAACGGGTGGAGCCGCTCCTCGCACGTGCAGGTCCCTAGGTTCCCTTCCCGTAGGGAGAAATCAGAAGAAACACAACAGCAACGACAGCAAGCCTACCAGAGCGAGGGTTATAGCTTGGTGGCACAGCGTGTGTCTAGGTCCTGAGTTCAGCCTCCAGCACCAGAAGAACAGTAAAAATGGAAACCTAAGAAAGCAGCTGAGTGTGTGATCAGGCTAGCAGCACTGTGCCAGTGAGCTCGAGTGAGTGTGACTTGGGAGTGGTCGCAGGGTAGCGAACACCTCTGTGTTTCTGATGGCTCAGGATGATGTATCTGTGTTCATCTCTGCACGTTTGCAAACTCTGTACATGATTTTCACTACTAATTTGCATTTCATCTTAACTTGACAGAATCTTAGTGTCAATTGGTGAATCATTTGGGGTGAGTATTTTCTTTCTATGAAATACAATGCCACGAAATTCTAAGTAAAAAATAATTGGCTCTTGTGTATTACTGTATCATCTTTTTGGATGTTTTTGTAGGTGGATATCTGCATACTTATATCTACAACATGCTACAACTATAAAAAAATTATAAAGAGTTCTACAATTTGAATTTTAAAATGTTATTCAAATACCTTATCCAGAATTTAGAAGATAATGTCTGTCTCAGACTTCTTTAAATCAGATTTAATTTCAAATCATACTTATAATTAATAGACTTCAAACTGTTTTCCAAATATTTTCTCAGGTTATGTAACGCATATATAACACAGATTCATGTATATATACATACATGTGCACTATTTTTACTCAGCATTTCTGACACTAAATGTGTGGGGTTTTCTCACACCTGCCTGTTCTCCAACACTCTGGACAGAGATAGTATCCTACAATTCAATTTAATTTTGATGCTGATTAATCAGAGTTAATTCTAGACCCCCCAGGCTCAAGAGGTCAGTCCTACCAGATTTCCCTCACTTTCAGACCACAGTCACAAGTGTCAGGTCCCCCCCCAGGTTGTATCATGCATTCTTCTGTCCTGGCTCCAAGTCAAGATGTCCCTACAACACCTCCCTTTCAGGTTTGATCCTTCCCTGCAGTGGCTCCAAAACTCTGGAAAATATTTTCCTTACTATTTTTCATTATTTATAGAGGATATAGGTGAGCATGCAGTTGAGGAGATATTCATGGTGGAGTCTAGAATAGTCCCCCACACAAGAAGTGTCTGACCTTGTAGACTTACAACTCTGAAGTTCTTTCGTCCCTGCTGTTGAAAGATTTTAATAGGGTGGAGTTCCTCACAGAGGCATAATGGTTTAACTCAATCTCCAGCTCTCTGTCCACACTGGAAGTTAGAGGGGGCCTAAAAGTTCCAAGCTCCTATGAAGGCTTGCTTTTTCTGGAAACCAGCCTCCATCCTGACCCCATCTAGGGGCCCAATAAGCACCACTTCATTAGAACAAAAGGTGTCCTGTCATCCCTTCATGACCCAGGAAATGCCAGTGGCTTTAGGGGCACTGCAGCAGAAACTAGGGACAAAGGTCAAGTATCTTTCTTTGATACCATATTTATGTGTATATAATTTCAAAGGAATCTTTACAAAACAGTTTGAAATTTAGTAATATGAGTATGTTTTGAAATGAGACACTCCAAAATGTAGCCCCTTCCAAATGTTACCAGCCTGGGCTTAACTACTTGCTTTTTTCTAACACACAAAAACACATGCATGTATGCACACTTTTGATTGTCCTTTCTGTCAGACTTCTATGACATTCTTTCTATGGTATATTGATTAGGGACTGGTTACATGATGCTATGCCCTAGTGAAAGTGGCAGGGATTCTGTGGTGGTCTTTGTTCCAGAAGATTGAAGGGAAAGCTTAGCTTTGAAAACATTATTCTAAAAGAACACACTATTTTTCTTGGCCTTCCCTTAGTGTCACTAGTGGAATGTCACTAGTTCAGCAGTCCCGTATTCAGTGTGTGATGCTTTCCTATAGACTGTTACATGAGCCAGCGATGGCAAACCTTCTAGAGCTTTCAGTGATACATACAGCCCACCGTGGCATGTGTGCCATAGGTTCCCACCCTGACTTGGCTTACATTTTATAAGGAAAAGACTGACTGCAAAATACACTGCTGCCAAACAAATTACCCCTAAAATTAGTGAACGTTTCTTATTCTTAATTTCTGGGAGTCAACAGAAGGACTTAACCACATCAAAGGTTCTTCTTAATGCTGTGCTCAAGGTGGCAGTTTGGGCTCCTGTCAGATGAAGGTTTGACTAGAAGAGCGTCCACTGGTCGGCTCATGCAGACAGTCTGGGTGATCTTCCCTGGCTCTTGGCTCAGCCCGGAAGCTCCCTGCCACTTGGGTTTGTCCGTGTGCTGCTTGCTGGTCCCACAGGGAGGACTCCTGGGGAGGGGGGGGGGAAGAAAGGCCAAGATGAAGGTCACAGCCTTGTAACCCAGCACGGATGATGGTGTGGCATCTTATTATTTTAATATATTATCTTGTTTATAAGCAAGATAATACTAGTTCAACACTCAAAGCAAAGAGGAATACGTTGAGGGTGTGAGTAGCAGGAAGTGGGGTCTCCAGGCATTTGAGAGCTGCTAGCCACAGTGTCTCCAGATGAATAACTGAACAAAGGTACCGTTTATAAGAATGACCCAGGACAGGCTACAGCTATCAGACTTCACAGAAGAGATACGGAACCATGCGAGTAGGATAGTAAATATAAAATAGAGGGCTTCCAACAGTTTTCTTATCATAATCTCTAAACTTGTGGAGAAAATATTATGTAGTTCCTTATTTTAAAGCCAGTAGGCGTAAGTCTTGTTAATATGGACAAAGGATTTTCTGTCATATTGTATATGCACTCAATATTTTTCATCAAAACATGTTTTTGCATTTGATTTTTGGAAAACGGAAGCATAAGTGGCAAAGCTAATCCTACTGTCAAATTCTCCAGTCAAATCAGATTTAACTTCTATCAAAATGTCTGGCTTCATTTTTGTAGTGTAAGCAAGCGTGTTAATACTCATGTCTGAGACAGCTGCTCACTCTGGTTCTAAAATAGTTAGCGTAGAACTTTTTCACTTATTTGTCCATTAGACAAAATAAGGTAATGTAGCCATGTTAGTAGTTACTATTAAGCCATTTTTGCTTTGGTGTAACATGTTGCCCCTCTGGAGACACCTTAAGTCATCTTCAGTAATACTACTTGGACTCAAATCCTGAAGTTTTTGGATATTTGATTTTTGATTCAAAACACTTTTTGAAGTAACAGCTTTGCAAATAATACTGTATCAGCGGTGGTACATAAAATGTAAATTATGTGACTTTGTCCACCTAATACCCATAAAATGAATCAAAAATTGGTGTTCATTGGACACATGTTTTACCAAGTTTTCTTGTGTTTCTCATTATATAATACTCTTTTTAAAAAAACTGCTGTGCATGGTGACACATACCTACAATTCCAGCACTCTGGGAGGCTGAGGAGGATCAGAAATACATGGCCCTGTTGGGGCAGTGTGGTGAGTTAGCAAGACCCTGTCAGGATACAAACTAGAAAGGACTGAGACAAACTCAGTGTGAAGGCTCTGGGTTCATTCCCAGTCTCCCCTCAACACCCCCCCCCCCATCTGTCAAAAGCAAGGGTCCGGAGGCCGCCCAGCTGTGCTGCCTGCTGGGAAGGAGGCCTGTCCAGTGGGCTCTCGGAAGGGTCAGGTTCAGAGCGTAGACAGAGGGCACGGACGAGTAACTACGTGGGGGGAAGACAAGGATTTTAAGAGGGGGAGATGGCACAGTTCTGATTTTGAAATACCTGAAACTCCTTAGTTGGTCCAATAAAGCAGGAAGTTAAAATGAAAACTTGTGCTTGATTTATGACATACCTCAAACCACAATTTACAGTTAACTTCAAATGCTGGCATTTAACGATTTAAAATAAAGACCTTTGTAATTTGTAGACTTCTGAGAAGTTCCAGAAAATAAATCAGATGGTAGGTAACAGTGACCGTGTCCTCAAAAGAAGTGCCGAAGGAAGCAACCCCCCTAAACCACTGAAAAAGCTGCGCTTTGACATCGAAGGATCAGATGAAGCGGATGGAAGGTAGGAACCGCCCGTGCGCAGGTCCCGGTGGCTCCTACCCAACAGCCCTCCTCAGGCCCGTTCCACGGGAAGTGGTGGGAATGCTTCCAGTGACGGCTGTGACAGTGGACCGCAGCCAAAAGCACTGTGAAACGTCACAGTACTGTCCACTGAAACTCACGCAGGTATCAGCGCCTTAGAAATCTAGGTTGTTTTTGTTTTTACTTTTTTACAAAAGTATTGGTAAAATTTAACCCAATTTTTAAAAGTGCTCTTCAAAATATTAGCTCTTTTTATAAGAACACTTGGAAAAATATAAAGGATAATAAATTTGTGATAGTTTTATTTTAGATTGTCAGTTCATAAGCTTGTAAGCGCTGACTAAATAACACATCCATGAAAATGCCAGTTATTAGAAATTCGAGTCTTCACTTATACATAGACACAGAAAATAAAACATTTGGTTCTTTTTCATCTGCAGTAAACATCTTCCAGGGGAATCGAAGTTTCAACAGAAACTAGCAGAAATGAGTAAGTACTTACCAGTCTACCTTCTATAAAGAGAAGAAAGTTGTTTTCGTTGCATTCATTGTAACTTTATCAAAGACCACACACAGAGCTCCTTCGGGCAGCAGAATGTTTACGTGTTTAGTTTCATTAGAACACGTTTGCAGTACATGTTTACCTTCCGTGTGTGGAGCTGATACATGCTCAGAACATCTTCTGCTTTCCTCACCGTGTCCCCCTTCCATCTCGACTCCTTCCCATTTGAGAAAGTTCTATTTACTATTTCCTTTTATCTTTTATTTTCCTTTATTTATAATTTGAGTTTCTCATATAAGACAGAACATGTGATATTTAAGCTTGTGTGTCTGATTTATTTTAATTATGTTCTCAGGGTGTATCTATTTTCCCACAAATGACTAATCCTTCTTAATGGCAGAGTAGTACTCCATTGTATATAAATACTATATTTTCTTTATTCATCTGTTGATGGACATATATGTTGCTTCTTTCAAGTAACAAATTTGCTTATGCATTTAAAATATAATTCAATCAAGAGTATATTATTCACCTCATTTATTTGTATGTGTGCACAAAATGAAAGTCATCATGACCCTTTTTACCGCCTTCCATGTGGGAAAACTAGATGCGAAACACCGCCTGACCCCATCTTCGGTGCAGTGGATGTGTTCAGTAGGCACCAGTGAGAGTCTGGAGAGCTCTTGCACTGTGTGATGTCCATCCTGTATTTAAAGATAATTTTTATTCTGCCATTGTTGAGCTTGATTAGTTTGCACAGCTTAAAACATTTCAAAATAAAAGATTTCTAGATAGCTGGGCTTGATGGTACGCGTCTATAACCTAAGCACTCGGGAGGTTGAGGCAGAAAGATCACGAATTTCAAGCCAGCCTGAGCTAAAAAGGCAGAGCCTTATCTCAAAAATAAACAAATCAAAATAACAACAAAGTTTTCTGTTATCAGAGATCAAAATTTTGATAACACCAAAGCATTTTTTGAGTTTCAGACAGACCTAAATTTGGAATGTTGGGCTAGGAGTCTTACTCAGTGGTAGTTGTATAGCGAGCTCCACACTTTGGCTGTGATCCCCAGCATCAGACACACACACACACACACACACACACACACACACACACACACAGTGTTAGAACAAGTGAAATTCTATCCTAAGCTATCCTGAGACTGTTAGAAAAAACAAAGCCAAGGGTACTAGTAGATGGGAGCACTGCAGGACAGAGAAGTGTTTGCTGACGGCTGCTGTGCTGTCTCAGGTAGGCAAGTTCCTGGTGTCTGGGGCCACATCCAGTAACACGGTAGGGAAAGGAACTGGGTCTTGGAAAAAGAAACATACTTAGGACATGAAAGTGTTAAATCACGCTAGGTCTTGAACAAATCGGTACCCAGGAATGTGTAAGAGGCTTTCAACTCACGTTTGTAGATACTAACTTTGAGAGACAAAGTATTTAAAAGAATGGTTTTGGTTGCTATTTTTCTAAGATGTTATTGTGCTATAATTAAAATGAAATATATCAAGCATTTAAATTTTTACATTTTACATTAGCTGATATATTCCTGTTTTAACTTTTCAATAATTATGGACTTCCTCTCAGTACATGAAAATGAACAACATGCTCATAAGCAAAATCACTTGGAAGCAGTGCGGGGCCCACACACATGCACTTCGAGGCAGCAGGTCGCTGTAAAAACGTGCTATTTTCTCATGCTCAGCAGCACAGCACCTGCCTGGCAAGTGCAAGGTTGTGAGTTCAACTTCCAAAACCCAAAACGGAACAAACAACAGCAACAACAAAAGCATGTATGTTTTCTTGGAGAACAGTCCAGGGGCTGTCGCCAGTGTGCTTCCGGTACCCACACGGCTGTGATGCTGTGCGCTTCCTGGGCCAGGCCACAGTGCAGGGCCCACGAGTACCAAGCAGGCCAAGTAATGCATTTCCCAAGATACTCTTTAGCTTGCCTAAAAAATGGCCCTGAAGAAAGATCACACGATGCTAATGGGCCACCTGGAAGAGGTGAAACGGCTGGAACTAGTGGCTTGTTTCTTTCCAAACGCAGATTTCCTTCCTAATCCTTCCCTTTCCGCTTTTTAATTTTCCTATTCTCTCTTTTTCTCCTCCCTTTCCCCTGCTATTGAACTATGCCACCTGCCCTACCCCTAAAGCCAGTAATTTTTAACTTAAGTGTTCTGGTTTTGTCCATATTGTAATCAATAATTATTTTTAAAATTCCCATGCTCAGTTTAATTGTCCAGTATCTAGAAGTCATGTCAAAATACGAGGGCACCCCTAGCCGTACAGAGAATGCCACCACGTACTTCGGCGGCCCAGCAGCTGCCCCATGGTTCTAGACTGTTCAAATGCATCAGACTTACATCTGTGGAGCAGGAGTCGGAAAAGTATGCAAATCATCTTGGGAAATGCATGGGGAATATATGAGGTTTATTTATCTTTGATGTCATCTTATTTTAATATTTAGAGTTTGTTTTATAATTTATGTACATATGAATGTATTTAAAGAGAGACCTTTTGGTGGTACGCGATTGGAAAAAATTTTACTGACAAGGAAATAAAATTCAGAAGTTTTCCGAGGCCACTGTTAGTGCAGGCTCTGAGCCCCATCAGCCTAACAGAAGCATCATGTGTGGCCGCCGTCTCGCCCGGTCCCGTCAGTGCTGTCAGCGGGTCTTCTTCCTCCTTTTCCAGCGTCTACTAGAACACGAATGCAAAAGCAGAAGATGAATGATAGCATGGACGCCTCAAACAAGGAGGAACAGTGATCATCTCAGGAATGCGGTGGACACCAGATTCGTCTCGCTGCACCGTCGCTCGGAGATACGACTGTGGCATCCTCCCGGGTCCTGGGTGCAGCCACCTCTAGTATCTCCAGCTCTTTTTGTAGAATAAAATGTGAGACGCACGTTGCATATTTGTGTGGGTAATTCCTAAACTGCTTTCAGGGTCGCAGCCAATGGTATATACATGTTATACAAGATTGAAAATCTTGTGTAAATCCTGCCATTTAAAAAGTTGTACCAGCTGATGTTTGCATTTCTAAACGTTCCAGTAAACTGCTGTGCTTTGGGGATAGTAAAGCAGTCTGGAGGGGAGCCCCGACTCATTGTGTCTACTTTGCCTTCTTCGTAGCATACATGTGATGTTTGCTCTTGTCTTTATTAATTTATATGTATATTTTTAATTTAACATAAATATTCTTAGAAACTATGTTCTGTCTCCCAACTACAGTTTGCTCGTTTACCCAAATTATCCTAAACTCTTCTCTTAAAACAGATTATTAGAAACTGTGAGAACAATTACTAATTTTTACACATTAGATTTTATTTTAGTATTGGAATCTGATGTACTCTGTTTTAAACATTGCTTGTAAGTGCAAGCAAAAAATAAAAATAAAAGTGTAAACAATACTGTCGTACTACTGACACAGTTTTCATACCTCAGAACTTGTAAAAACTTATTCTTTCATCCAACTCTGCTTTAAAATGAGGATTATTCATAGTACTCCTGGATTTTTCCCATTTGGATCTCTGAATTTATAAGTACCCATCTAGTACTTGAAAAACTAAAGTGTCTTATGTGTGAAAAAGAGCTTTGCTGCAGAGGACCCTATACAGTATATCCCAAGTGCACTTTCGAATGTTTCTGGGTCCTTAAGAATCAAGACATAAATTAATCTGCCTTCCTAAATTTGGGAAGATTTGTGTTTTCTCTGGAGTGGTACATGTCTTCCATGTATGTTTTGAACTGGCAGTTGCCTATTTATCTTCTATTTTAAGTGGGTGTGGTCTAACACTGGCACGTTCAAAGCCACCTTATTTTTAGTTCAACATTGCAAATAGGCAACAGTCTTTGTAAGTTAGGCATTAATGTTTCTCAGTTTGAGCAAATGCTTCAATATATCCACATTAGAAGAAGAGACACTTCCCCTCCACCCCTGCACCTAAAGGTGTAAACTATCTTGTATGATTAACTTATTTAGAGAATGTATAATTTAAAATAGGTGATATTTAAGGTAGTATCAGGTAGCATTTAGGAAAATCACTTTGTCTAAACTTGGAGGTCTTTTTAAAAAGAAATCTGGCCTCGTTTGGAAGGAAAAATATTCCTACCAAATTTCTACCACTAGCATAGCTTCTCAGTTGAGTTTCAGACACACTCTTTTGACAGTTATCTTAACAAAAGCAACGGAAAGCTTGACCCTTCTTCATTACCTTTTGCATGGTATACAGATCAGTCGTTGTTAGGGAAGGGCACACCACACTTCTGGGGTTTTTGCTGATTAGTTCACATCAGAAATAGTGACAGTTTTAGGAATTTCAGGTATCATGTATTCCGATTTCTTAAGGCTTCAAATAATACTCTATTGTTTTTTGTACTGGTTAAAACTGTACATTTAAAATTGCTATGTTACTATTTTCTACAATTAATAGTTTGTCTATTTTAAAATAAACTAGTTAAAGAGTTTCAGTGGTCTGCTGTGATTCTGTGCTCAGTGCAGCAGTGTTCCTTACCGGATGTAAACTCTGTCCTGGTACTCACGCCCTCATCGCCATTCATGGATATCTGATGATTTCCAGATTCACCCTTCAGCTCTGACTTATCCTCAAAGCTGTGACAGCAACTGAACTCTCAATTTCTACCTACTCCTGTTTCTCAAAATGTAAACCAAAGTCAGACTCAAACAGTTGATTTCTACCCAAGTATTTCCCCATTTTACTAACTTCTTATCAAGTCAAAAACTTAGGAGCCACCTGTTAACTGATGTCAGGACCACTGCTTATTTATTCACTGTTAAAATCTGAAAATTACGTGATTATCTGTGTTTGGTACTAAAACTCATACAGCATCAAAATCCTATCTAAATTGGCATACAACTTTCTATAGTCTATCCTGTTTACTGGGAATACTCGTATTTCTCAGCAGAAAAAAACTAGCATATTCGACTATTGGAAACTTACTAAGGCCTTACTTAGGTATTATGTTATCAAGTGATAAATGTGTGTCACATTATCATTTGGAACTCATTATGAAATTCATCTGGCACCAATTTGCGTTTATGTAATTTTTCAAATTATGTTGGATAATGCATCTCTTTCCTTCTGCAATAGCATGTTTATCTAAAGGAAGAAAGGCAGATAGGATAAAGCACGCGTATCTCAGTAAAATACCTTCATTCTGGATGGGTATCTTAGGTGTGGCATTCAAGTCAAGTCAAAGTCAGGCAGCCTTAATGATCCTAAACATTTAGTCTAGGGGAATTTTTTTTTAATCATTCCTGGAAATTAATTTAGCATTTCAACGATTTAAATTCTGAGTATAATAAAAGGAACCAGTTCAGTTTAATGTGTTTATTTTTCATTAGTTTTCTGGCACAAATGGAAAGACCCAAACATTTCTAGTTCTATTATTATCTGGGTAATTTCATAGAAACTTGCTTTTAGAAGGATTATTCTGTTCCTCATTTTGAGGTCAATACGGTATATACAACATGAATGGAGTCAACAGAATTTTCCTTTTACTGAACAGACTTTCACAGGACAATCTGAAACTTTGCAAAGAGGAAACAGTGTATTAAATTTCTACCTCGAGTATAGCTTCTTAAATAGAAATGTATTATTGTGCTGTAGTTTGGATGTAAAACACTCCTCAGAGGCCCATTGTTAAAACATTCCCCAAAGGCCCATTTGTTAAAGACTCTGGTCCCCAGAGTGACACTGGTGGGAAGTGGTGAAACCCCGACGTGGTGAGGTGGCACAGTGGCACATGCCTGTACTCCTAGCTCCTCAGATCCTCAGAGGAGGGTCTCAGGTTCAAGCCGAGCCTGGCCACCTTGGCAGAGACCCTGTCTGGAATAAAAGGGACTGGAGGTATAGCTCAGTGGCAGAGTGCCCCCAGATTCAATCCCAGCATGTGAAAATGGGGACAGTGGCTAATGGGAGGTGCTCGGCTCACTGGAAGATGCCTTCAAGGGGACTTTGGGGCTCTCTGTCTTGGTTTCCTGGCCCTTGACCTAAGTGGTTCACTCTCCCATGCAGTCCCACCACGACGTGCTGCCCTCACCAGAGACTCAAAGCAATTGGGTGCTTTGATCTTGGACTGCAACTTCTGGAACCATGGGCCAAAGTAAACCTTTTTACAAGGTAATTGCTTCATATCCTTAAAGCAATGATAATTGTATAATGTTTAAGTGAGATTAAAACAAGCTTTTTAAATATGCAGTTGGGATAGTCATCTTTTTATAAATCCTCTTTGTGTCCATTATTTGGGGGCTGTGCTTTATACTAACATGTGACAGTGACATTTTAATATGAAATGTTAACTCTATTTATAGACCAGTATGAGTTACTTCCTAAATAAAATGATTTTTACAGGAAAACCTGGAAGTTTTGTTTCTATATTTTTGTAAAGACCAAATTTTAAATAATAGATGCCTAAGATATGCAAATTGTATCATCTGTAGTTGTTTCTTTTCAGTATGACTGATGAATTTAGCCTCTAAGTGAACTGTACGTGTTACAGTCCAAAGTAATTCACAGTAGTAGGGAGCTAAAGAACATATACCACATTCTGGCCACTTAACCAGTCCAATAATTTAAATACAGGCTAGCCAACAATTGCCTAGTTTTCAGACACAGTTTTATAAGCTAACAGGAAATACAGTGACAATTTTATCAAATTTATTCTGCAGAAGAATCAACCGGTTGAAATGACACCTGCTGGGAGCTATACTCAGTGTAGTCAGTGCTTAAAAGAAGGAGCCGCCTGAGTGCCACTCAGCATGAACTGTTAAGTGGTTACTCTTCGCTTTTTAAAATGAATTAAATGGATCATCATAAACCTATGAGGGCACTAGCTCATTCATGTGCAATCTTAATCTCTATGCTTTTCTGTGTGTGTTAAACTATATAGGAAACATTAAAATATTGAACTTCCTTGTGGGATCAGGAAACAAAATTTAAGGCTGGATATACTTAAACTTGTACAAAAGAAGGGATACATTCATTTCTGATGCAGTGTACTATGAAAATGTACCTTTCTCACATATTAGTAGTAGCAGGATTTTCTGAGGCTAAGTATTCATCTGTCAGAAAGAAGGAAATCTTTTCTTCCTATAGTAGTGTCCAGTATCCCTGTCTTCAAAGACTAGAGAATTTATTCCAGATAGATGCACGCATATCCGTAACTCATCTGTCATCTCTCAGACTGGGCTGACACAGCTTACTGTTTGTAGTCCTGAGTTTTAAGAGGAAGACCAGTGATTCTCATTCTTGGGTAAATATCAAAATTACCTGTGGAGTTTTTAAAGTACTGCATATTGAATTGGAGTCCTCAAGTCTGGTCTTTTAAGTTGCAAAGATCATTAAGTTGTGCACAGATACGAAACTCTGAGATAGGTAACAGTGCACCCTTCATATAACAAAGCTTACAGAGAAAATATGGATACAAATGTAGAGTAGTAACTTGGATTCTGGCAGTACAGTAATCTCTAAATATACTTCTCTGTGCCTCTTTTTATAGGAAGTGAGTTCATAAATGAAAAGTACACTCACTATGGAGCTTCAGAAAACCCTGTCAGAAACAGCAACAGGAAGACAAGATTTTCCAAGATGCTGTGAAGGGTTATGAGCCAAGACTGCTACAGCTAGTGTAGGAGAGTTAGGAGAAAACAGTAAGAGAATGAAGATTAACTGCCTTCCCATATCTGAAAGTTTTTTTGTTGGATAAAATAGAAAATCTACCCCCAAAATAAAAACAAACAGCGTATGCTAAGTTTAAAAAAAAAAAAAACAAGTGACCAAGACTATATAATTCTAAAAATAGGATTCTGATTTGGAACTAGAGGCTTCCAGACCTCCTGTGCCTCTAATTTAGATAAGTCAGAAAAAAATACAATAATTTGTCAAAACTAAAGATTCAAAAATGACCCCAGACTGAGAGGAGATCTTTGCAAAAGACATATGATAAAGGACTGTTACTCGAAATATAAAAGAACTCAAACAGCAGGAAAATAACTCAAAAAATGGGGCAAAAACCTAAGCAGACAAATGGCACATGAGCATCTGAAAAGATCCCCTCATCATGTCGTCAGGGAAGTAGAAGTTAACACAACACTAGATAACACTACAGACCTAGCAGAATGGCCAGAACTTGAGACCACCAGATGCTGCTGGGGATGTGGCAGCAGTGACTCATTCGTTCCTGGTGAGAATGCAAAATGCTACAGGCACTTTGGAAAACAGTTGAGGTTTCTTAAAAACTAAATATCCTTGTAGCACATCAACAGCAGTCATACTTCTTGGCATTTTCCCAAAGAAACTGAAAACTTAAGTCTGCACAAGGTTGTACCTTGTTGGTTTGTAGCACCTCTATTCATAATGGTCAAAACTTGGAAGCAACCAAGTTGTTCTTCAAAAATGACTGAATAAACTGTTGTACACTCACACTGTGGAATATTACTCAGTATGACGAGAAAAGTAGCTATCGAGCTGTAACAAGGCATGAGGGGATCTGAATGGCACAGTCCTAAATGTAAAGAATTACATAGAAAGGCCACCATGCTATAAAAGAGCAGTCATGACCTTCAGGAAACGTGGCTGCCAGCGGTGAGCGCAGGGGAGGGACAAACAGGTGGAGCGTGCGAGATTTTTAGGGCAGTGAAGCTATGTTGTATGACACTGTAGTGCTAGATTCATGCCTTTCTACATTTATCCAAACCCAAAGAATACAACGCGAAGAGTGGACCCTCATGTGAACTGTGGACTTCAGTGCAGCTGACCAATTAAAACAAATGTATCTCTCTGAAGGACGCGGACAGAGAGAGAAACTATGCACACGTAGGGGTCGGGTAAACGGGACATCTCTGTGTCTTGCTCTCGGTATTGCTGTAAACTTAAAATTTCTCATAAAACATCTTAAAAGTAACCTCATCAATAAAAAGCAATAATATGAATAGTGATTGGGTTTTTAAACAAACCATTTATGTTTAATTGATTTTCTTATAAAACTATCTGAAAAACAGCTTTAAAAAACAAATTGGATTTATATATATCTAAGAGACATGAAGTCTCTGGTATTACTTTGCTGCTTAGGGATTTTAAAAAATCACATTTTTTCTATTATGTGCAAAAGAGAAACTTTATTATCAAACAGTTCTGAAGCGTTTTCTTTCTATAGCATCATACTGTGATACAATATCAAGACTCGACGCTACTTACCATTTGAGTTTCTCCTTTACAATTGAGCACTCTGTTTTGATCTAAACAGTGTAACACCTTTGTCGTGTTAATCTGTCCGTGAAATGCCTCACTTCCTTTTCATCTAGTACACTTATACTAGTGCCAGGCTAAGTGACCTCTTGTGCAGTGCCATAAAAGTCAATGACAAGAAAAACAGTCATTCCTACTCACAGAAGCAAATTCTCCTTAACACAAAGAAATGAAATTTATACAATTACATAAGACAGATGAGCCCAGAAATCACTTTCATTCAGAGATAATATTTCAGTAATTCCATGTGAGAAATTAATGTCTCAGAATAAATAGAAAATTAAAATTAGCCCTTGAGTCGTTGACGGTTGGTGGATTCCAATTAATGCTCCACGTCAGCGGTGGGGGACCTGTGGCACACGCCCCAGTGGGCCGTCTGTTACCACTGAAAGCTCGCAAAACTTCGCCGTCACTGCACTAAATTAGTCACTATTTCTCAGAACAGTGTATCAGAAGAGCATGAACCTCGGTAATTATAGGCTGTTTTCAACTTGTGTAACTTGCTCCTTCATCCAGTATTCCACAAATAAATCTATCCTCAAGCCACCCTTAATATTTACAGTAAATTGCTGGAGTGCCTACTATCCGCAAGGCTCTGTGCGGATCCAGAAATGTAGTGACAGCAATGCTTGCCTAGCTTTACGGCATCAGCCTGCTGAATAATGGCTCATTGGCCACAGCGGCACCGGCCAAAACACCAATGGATCAAAGCGATCCAGCTTCAGTGACTCAAAAGAAAAAAATAACAAATATGGTAAGACGTTTGTGTATTTTTCCTTACAGCCACATCTGATCAGAGAATTCAATGTTTTCTATGTAAACCCTGCATTTCAGCAGATGGAGAAGACCAACTATCATCCTCTTGACATAACACATTCAGCCTAGTGCATCATAAATATTGCTAAGGAGAATTATTCATCACCAAGTGTTCTGCAGGGAAAACAGAGGGTCATAAAACTCTATCCTTTATGCAGGTGAGGATCAATTTTTAAATGCTCCAACTCTGCTGGCTTTGCTGATGAAGTTCTTCAGGAGATCATGGTCCATTTCTGCAAAGCCTGCAGTTTGTGTTACAACAGTCAGATGGTTTATGCAAAATCTGAAGCAAAATTCTTCCAAGTCCTAAGGAAACAACAATGGTTTAATAAATTTGTATTTTCCAGTGCAACGTTCCATAGCATCAAACTTTTTCAAACAAGGAGAAAGAATTTCATAGCCACTTTGAGGAAAGCTGGTACTGCAATATGTAAAGAACAATTATAAAAATATCTAACATGAAACTATGTCTCTAAAAATTTAAGTAACTGTAAAGGATTCAAGTTCCTTCACACTAACCAGTGTAGAGAATCTAGTCGTTTTTTTCCCAGAGAGAGGTACCTAAGCCTATGAATTCTTCAGTACCTTTTGTGACAGTATTTGTACCATTCATTTATTGTACTTGCAGTATTTGTTAAAAACACAATATTCCTTCATTTTATGTTCCCCTGCGCGCTTTAAATATTTCTACTGTAGCACCTTATAGAAGAAAAGGAATGAGTCATAAAAAATGGTACTGCTAGGAAACTCCCTCTCTTAATTCAGGAACAGTCTCTTCTTTTTCTTTTCTTTTTCCTTTGCAAGAAGATAAAGCAGCGATGGACAGAGTTCGTCACACTACCCATACCTTCAACAATATAAACGGGAACAACTCACTGGTACAGGCCACAGGGTTTACTTATTTTTATTTTTTGCCTTGGAGAACAGCGAGGCCGGCCTGCGGAGACCTCTGCCACCACCTCAGACCCGGCTGTGCTGTCGCCTGCGCCTGCGCATGGTGCTGCACAGGGATGGCCAGTGTTTAAAGCTTTTCTCTGTTGCTGAAACTGATTTATGAAAACTAACACCCAAAGTAATTTCCAAGCAATTATATATATACATTGCACATCACAGTCGTCTTTAGATCCATATAAATAGAAGCAGTTGTTAAAGACAAAAACTAAAACTGGCAATAAAAAAAAATTAGCTATTCCTGTAGCCATGCCAATGTGTACACAAACTTGCAGTACATTTTTCTTTTAAGAAAAGAACCCCTATGTGAGGAAAATGTGATCCCAGAACAAACCCAGGCAGGCTGCTAGGGTCACACTGGCAGAGTGACATGTTTCAGTCCCAGGTAGCCCTCAGGGATTAAAACAAAACAAAAAAGGAAAACTCACATACCCACCTGATATGATGGCACCTTACTAAAAATGTGCTTCACTGATACCACAATACCTACTTAAAATCATGGAATATGCTTAAATTTTGGAAGTGATGTTCTTGTCTACAGCACAGGAAAATAAAACAAGACAGAGGTACATCTTTTTGTCTGGATTCTACCCAGTGGTCAAACCCATACCCACACCGCACACTTGAATGTATGGACGTAGGCGGGCATTTTGCAGGCTTAGAGATCTGCACAGTGTCAGTAACGCAGCTGATTAATGAGGGAACAAAAGGACTCCAGGAAGTCATCATTGGGATCCACCCTCCTTTACTTTCTAAAATGGGAATTTCCTGTAATTATTACAAGGACAGGACTCGGGAGAGAATTCCTGCAATTCTAAGAATTTGATAAATAGCTGTAAGGTGGTACTGGTCACAAGGGAATTCTGTCCATATAAACAAGGCCCCCATTTTAGTAAGAGTATTGTCCAAATGCTGCTACTATATATGGCTTTACCTTTAAAATCGGGCCCTTAATCTTATTGAGTACGCCTGTATTTCCTCGTCCACTCACTCTCCTACACCACTGTCACACTCAGACCCAGACTACTGGGTCCAGTCCCTCCTCCGGGCCTCGTGCTAGGCCACCATGACTTCCCACTTCACGGCGGAAACAGCGCTCAAAAAGGATCCACACGCTCACGTCTCCTCGCCTCCCGAGGCGCCTGTGAACTCTCCTTTCCTGCCACCCAGAGTGAATGGTCCACGGCTGACCCAAGGGCGTCTCCTGCTCTTTCACAGATTCTATGAGGTCCCCCTAAAGGACACTATTGTCCGAACCATTCTTTCATTGTCAGCTTGTGCTCCCTGATGGAATCGGATCATGCCTATCATTATGCAAATAAGCTTCAATTAAAAATGTGTGATACTTCAATGCACCTGTAATCTACTTCTCCTTACGTGAACTTAACAGAAACAGTGGTCCCTGTCCCCAGTCTCCAATTCCTCTGCCCTTAGTACCCTGTGAGGATGGCCCACCACTGCCTGCCAAGGGCCCTCACGCTCTGGGCTGCACACTGCCCCCTGGCAGCACCTGAGTCCTGCAGGACGCGCTCCTCACGGATACCTGCTCCTTCCTCACTACTGGGCACCATCTCCCAGTCTGCCTCCTCTGTTTAATTTAAACATTAATTTAAATTCCTATAGTTCCTTAGCTAAATAATTATATTTTTGAGGTTTTACCAAATTATTTATATGTATTTATCTTAGAACCCTCATTACTCTGAGTCTGTATTATTTTTAAAAATATATTCTCCAGTTTGAAAGGTAAAAAATGATCATTGTATTCATTTGTTTTTCATTTTTTTCATTGTTCTTTGGTCTACTTCAAATTACTCATATTTTTCTATTTTACTATGGAAAAACTTTTATAAGTTAACATATTTATAAATATGTTACAAAGACTTTCCCCAGTATCAGTGACTCTCATTTTCTCTGTGGTATATTTTTAGTGTACAAAAGTTAGGTTTTCAAATCAGATCAATCTTTGCCATTATAATTTGCCTCTGACAGCTACCTTAAGATCGTATAGTCACTTATATTTTATCTAAATTTGCTAGTTTTCTACATTCAATTTGAATCTGCCTGCAGTTTATCTTGTCGAAGATATGCAGGAAGCTTCTCTGCAGGATGTTTTCTTACCTGGGCATCATATTTCACAGCAGCTGAGAGCAGAGCGATGGCATTCTCCTCGCAGATTCCTTGCTTGATGGTTTGCTGGCAGAGCTTTTTCAAACGATTTTCTCTATAAAATGTAGCCAAATCTAGCAATCCTGAAAGAAGAAAGTGTTTGCTGGGGGTCACTTCAAGCATCCTGATTTAAACTCACTCGACCATTGAAAGATGATTCTGACATTCTTTTAAATGTCATGCTCTGTGAAGCACTGTGTAAACAGGCATTCTTTGGCTTATGATTTGGACTGTGGCTCTCTCTAAGAAGGTAACCAACATCAACAAATACACTACACAAATAATCAGCTGTAGAAGAACAGTAGCAAAGCGAAAATGGCTTAAAATTTTTTCCTTGGAAGAAAACCAAAAGAAATGTTTTTAGATAGCATTATCCCCTGAACTAGCAGGATCTTCTTTTCTGAATCATTCCCACCAACACACATGGTGGGATAAAGGCCATTTCTATATGGGAAAAGAAGGGCTTGGCAGGTTGCTGGGTGGTAGTGTGTTTAGCACGGACACGCCCCAGCATCAATTAGAGAGACAGAAAAGCAATGCCCTTCCTAGGCACACCTGCATTCTACGGTGCCATCCCTCTGTTCCTCTGCACCACGAAATTCCTATAGCACATTGTCTGTATTTGCTTTTCTCTTTTATTGGCTCTTTCTTATTCCCTATCTGTTCTCAAGTTATCTCAAGCAGAATCCCTCCCCCACCACTCACTGAAGTCACTGTCATGAATAGTTTTGGCTGCCACAATGTCAAATCCAAGGTTTGGTCTCTAGGTTTCTCTTATTCAACATCCACAATTAGATGTGGTTGCTGCTCTCTCCTTGGAAGACTGAATTACTGGCTTGTGTTTTTCTTCTCCCTAATTAGTGTCTCCTGAGTTCTCCTGGTTGAGCCATTTTTTCTGACTTCAAATGTCTTCCTGTCCCTGGGTTCGACCTGCAATACTGATTTATTTCCCCAGCTGAGTTCCAGCTCTATGGTTTTAAATACCATCTGCAGATACTGACAGTTCCTATCACCTGTCATCTAGTTTGAAATAATCCAGTGGAGACTGATACACACATGTCAGTTCATTTCCATCTACCCTGGGGGGCAACATGAAGTCCTCCAATCAGGAATGGGCAATTAGCACTGGGAAGATCCTACTTGTTTTTAGATATTGCTATCTGAGTTTTCATTAGAGAACTCATCGATGAGCATCAAGCACGAGGGAATCGGTCACTGGGAATGAACACTGTTGAGGATGGCTAAGGTATCCCAAGTCCTTCTGCCCTTGCACCAATGGGTTCCAGCACTGAGAGCCCTGCAGGCCAACACTTCTGGCAGAGGAATCCATGGGAAGTCAACTGTCAATCTTGGGTTGCCACCCGATCAAAAGTTTAGCTGACTTCTGTTGCAGAATGTTATCACATTATAAATTAATACTTCATGCAAAGATTCCTCCAGAGTCTCTAAAGGAAAGGGAGTTAGGTTTCGCCAACTTTGATGTACTCATGATTTTTATAGTTTTACACAACTAGTAGTCTCTGAGTGAAAACTTGCTTTCACCGTACCATGGTAAACATTATCAAACCCTGAGTCTTGTGAATGACTGAATTGTTTGGAATCAGTTCTTAAAACTCTAAGTTCTTACTTGTAGCCCCAAATGCTCCTTGAGTTTCAGACTCACATTATACAAGCAGCACTGCCTGCCACCCCGCCACCCTGAAGCTGGGCCCTGCACTTCTTCAAGGCACGTCCCCCTTACAAAGGGACCACAAGCCCCGCGCTGCTGCCTGCTTCTAGGTGGTACTTTGGGTTCCTGGGAACCCGAGGTTCTCTGCCTGAGGAGACAACAGTGTCGATGTTTCTTTTGCCCCAAGAGGTGGCCCAAGCTGGAGAAGGACAGAGCTTGAAAGTCAGACTGAGGTATGCACAGACCCCTTGCAATGCAGGATGGAGCAGAAAGTTGGAAGCCAAAGGTCGTCTGTCCTGCATTACTGCATTCTAGCACAGAACTGAATCTCAAATCTGGTCTGTCAGTTCTTGATGAAGATGTATTTTTAAGGTAGAAGGACTGGACATATCTTAAGTTTGAGAACTTAACATATAGGAGGCATAACCAAACTATATGGTAAATGTTTCAAATAAGACATTTGTTCTTATAAAAGATCCGTTGCCATTAGTCTCCCCACCCTCACCCCATTTTAAACACACTTATTCTGGTACTCTCGCCACTCTCTGAAGCAGTTCTGAAGTCCTCTTTCATGAGTGTCTTTACAAGATGTGACAAAAAATACAGTAAATGCTACTGCCAAGTGCCATCCGTCAGAAAGACAGGCTCACGAAAACAAGGGAAGTCCTTATCCACTGTATTCACTGGATCTAGTGACTGACTCCTCCTCAAAGTTAAAATGCCCATGAAAGGTAAATGTTCTTCAGTAGACTCAGCTCATGGAGGCAGCCATAAGAGTGTAACTAAGGACAGTCATTAGGAAAGCACTTCCAGAACTGCTCCAGAAAGTGACCAGAATGATGGGCTGTCTTTGAGAAGGGGATGGATGGTAATGTGTCTTTTACTGTAACAAAAAAATTTTAATTTAAACTTTCACTTTTTAAAAATCATACCATGTAACTTTAAATTTTTAGACCTATGGTACACAGGCCTCCATTTGGGCTCTTGCTAGGGTCCTACACATGTTAGGGGTGGACTACTGAACAAAAACAGAAACAGTCACTGAAGTATTTATTAAGCAGCTCAAACTTCTTCCAGCTGAAACCTGGCTATTCAAAACCTGTTGAACTTGGCTAGAGCAAAACCTCAAGCCAAACATCTCAGCAAAATATCCTCCCTCCCCTCACACCTCAACTCCCATCCATCACCAAATCCCTCCAGCTGCATCTTCAAAGTATATCCAGAATGTGACCTCCTTAAACACGGCCACCGCTACACCCTCTAATGCCGGATACCATCATCTTGCACTTGAAACATTTTATAAGTACTGAGTTTTTTAAAAAAAAAATCGTATCTCTGCCGTGGCAGAAGCAGTAAGTTGCCTCCTTCCTTCGCCTCAACACACACACATGCACGCACAGAGTTTGGGTTCAAAACACACACAACCCCTGATTACCTACACAGTGATTATCTTTCACGCTCTACCGAAACTGTCTTGTCAGTTACTTGACTTTTGCCAATTACTAGGTGAAGTTTCTGGTGATTACCTACTGCCTCCTCAGGAGAAAGGCTGATGCTGTCTGTGTACAGGTATTCCAGGAAGGCTCGGTATACAGGGTATGAAAATTCACTCATTTCTACAATATCGTCCTCACTGTCTTCCAACGAAGAACGAAAATGCTCACACCTGAAAGGAGAAATAAGTACGTTGGGTCCTATTTCTGGGCCTCCCAGAGGAGCACCCTTTTTCTGAGTTGGACACCTCCACATCTGCTACAGTTTAGATGCTGAATACCCTCTGAAGGCCTGGGCTTAGGGTGACAGTGGTGGAAGGTGATGGGATCGTTGGGACATAGGGCCAAGCGAAGGACTTAGATCATCGGAGTTGGGGCCTCAAAAGAGGTCCCTCTTCCCTTCCTCTACTGCCTTCTTCCTTTCCTCTATTGTTCCCTCATAAGGTGAGTAGTTTTGCTGTCACAAACTCCCAGCATGATATGTTACTTCTTCACTGGCCCAAAACAACAGAACCAATCACTCATGGGCTGGAACGTCAAAAACCATGAGCCAACAAACCATTTAACCTGGAGGTTAACTTGCTAGTAGACTAACGAATAAGCCTTTCTTTTATAAGTTAGTTATCTCAGGTCTTCTGTAACAGTAATAGAAAACTGACTAATACAACATCCTTGCTTGGCTCCTTACTTCCTTTGCTGGCTGAAATTTTCATTTATTCAACAAGGCTGCAAATCCAAACTGCTGCTGCAGCCAGCCCAGGTAGCTGCCTCAACAGCTAAGCTGCTGGGGCCGATGTAGGGTGCCCTCAGGCTTTCTTACACTATATCCACTGATGAGTATTTATAGAAATCAGTACGGTTTATTTTTATAAATATGAGTAGTTTTGTTTCTTCAGCTAATTATAGGTTGAATTTTATCTCCTAAAAATGTGTTGGGAGTTCTAATTACCAACGTTTAATAATGTGACCTTCATTTTAAACAGTCATCAAATGAAGATGAGTCATTATAGTCAGTCCTAATCTAGTAGGACTGGTGTCCTCACACAAAGAGGAAATTTGGACTTAGACATGCACAGAGAAGCATATGTGGTGATTTAATAAGCTGCCACAGGCTTAGAAATTCTCACAAGTCACTGAAAACCAGGAAAGCAGCACAGAACAAATTTTCCCAGCCTTCAGAAGAAAATCATTCTGCTAACACTTGATCTTAGACTGCTGGCCTCCAGAACTGTGAAATAATAAATGTCTGTTATTTAAGTCTCCCTCATGTAGTACTTTGTTTCAGCAGACTAATCCGCCCCTTCCTTTGTGAAGGTTTATGTACTACAAAGGGTGAATAGATGCAAAGCAGCCTGACTTTACCAAAGCAGAACTTGAGCCTGAAAATTTTTGGTTTGTGATTCACTAAAATTGGATTTAAAAATCTGTTTCACAATATAATGAATTTCAAAATCAGTATGCTAAGAGGAAAAAGCCAGGCATGAAAGAATATAAACTGTTTCATTTCATTTACATAAACTTCTAGAAAACCAATCTGTAGGGACAAAAGGTCACTGGCTGCCCAGGATGGAGCCCAAGGGACCTCTGATGGGCAATGGAAATGTTTAGGCCAGTGGTTTCACGGGTATATGTACATGTGACAAAAGAATTGCAACTCACTGCTCATAAATTAAACATCAACAAATTTAATTTTAAAAAATCTTTGTAGGGCTGGGAATACAGCTCAGTGGCCCAAGTGCTTGCCTGAAAAATGGAAGTCCTGAGTCTGACTCCCAGGTCCCACCCCCCAAAAAATCTTTGTGTTAGCCTCACCAGTACCGTGTGGGTCTGGAAAAGCTGGATTTTTTTTTAATGAAGTTAAATATCCCACAGTTGACTGAAGAGAGGACTCATCATGGGCTGAGTTTATTTACCAGGCAAGGGAGGTTATTTACGTCAAAGCACAGGACACACCTGCCACGTGGTAGAACTGGCTGGTCTCCAATGTCAAGAGGACAGAGTATTTATTAAGCTCTCTAAAAGTGCCACCAGCCTTGATTCCTTGCCCACATACCCAGCACCGCTGCAGCCGCTCTGCATTAGTTCGTTTCATGTGTTTCCCTCTCGCTGCACTGTGCATTCAGAGGACAAAGAGCACCTTGCAGGTTTTTGTAAGTACCAATGACCCCAGCATAGTTCGCTGGACACCTGGACACTATGGAAGTAATGGCTGAAGAAATGCATTCATCTTAATTCTCAAAATAAATGACTCCTTACCTAATTTTGAGGAGAACTTTATGTGCATAAATGTATTTTCCATCAACCAGAAACCTCAGATCTGCAGTGTCCGGGTTGTCAAACTCCCTCTTCAGGGACTCCGCCACGGTGAGGTGGTCGTCAGGTTCTAAGAATAACAACACGAGCCTGAGGCTCAGCTGGTGACTGGGAGGCCCAAACACACATGGTTCTGCTGACGCTCTGAAAACGCATCCCTGAAATAACTGACCAACTGAGCAACGGTTTAGTTCTCTTAAATTTGAATTCACATTTCTGAAATCCATAAATGATAAAAATCTAACACTATCTGCCTATAAATTTGGCCAAGGAACAAAAAATGTCCCTAGGTACCTCATTAATTTAAAATTAAATTTCAGAATGCTTAAGTAAACATACTAGCTAAAAATTTTTAAAAAGTAGTTTTCCAGTGAAATTAAAAACCAGTCAAAGCAGCCAAGCCCACGTGGTGTCACATGCTTATTATCTCAGCACTTGGGAGACTGAGGAGAAAGGATCAAGAGTTCCAGGCCAGCCTAGTCTACATGGAGAGCCTGTCTCAGAAAAAGAAGAAGAAAAAATATTTTAAAACCCCAAAACAAAATCTTTTATTAAAAAAAAAAAAAAAGAAAAACAGCTGCAGTAAAAATAGAAGCACTTTTAAGCTAGTACTGATGCTGGTTCCTGGAGTTTTTAAGAAATTTAATAAACTTAGTTCTCTTTCTCAGGAGCCCATTATTAGGAAATAAATTACAATTTGAAGTTTTGATACAAAAACAAAAGCACCAAGTTTTCTTCCCAGTTTTCAGGCTGTGCAGCAAATAGACCAGCTCACCCACAGAGAGGAGGCGCCAGGTGACAGCAGGCGTGGAGAAGCAGGCAAACACATCGTCGGTGCAGGAGAAGTGGGTAAGGTGCGGGAGGGTCACCGACTGGCCCCGGCACTGGCCCCACATGTACACGTGGCCCCCCTGGGTCTTGGCAGCAGACGTGTGGGTGGAGTGACAGGCTGCGATCTCTATGATCCTAAATTCACAAGCAAACAGCACAGAAACACAGTGAGCAGAGGAGGAAATGAGGTGGTCTCTCCTTTTCCTAGGTTTAACTGTTTTGGGGCGTCCCAAAAACAAACAACAAAACAACACTTAACACTCTTCTAAATTTTCAGGTGCCAAACATTAAGAGTCACACTTTAATGGCACTTATAGTTCATTAGGACCTTCTGGGTACCACTTTAGCCAACAGCCCTATAAAAATATGCACCATCTTGCTTTGAAATTCAAACACAACCAAGTCAAGAAGAAAAGGAGATGACTTAATTTTTTTGTTCTTAAAACATTACTGATGTAAGTGATAAAGATGTGGGCCATGTTGATCTAGGGTAAATAAATATTTTAATCAAAGCTTAATCTCTTTGGGCTGAGGATATAACTCAGCAGAAAAGTGTGTGCTTAATTAGCATGTGTGAGGCCCTGGGTTCCATTCCTTTCATTAAATAAAGAAAACAAAATCCCTTCACTTTTAGGGATAAAGGCAGCTTGCTGAAAATTGCCCCCATCTGCTCCTGTATAACATAAATTCAGTGGTTTTTACTTTCTGGTTCTGGGGATGGAACTCACATTAAACAGTTACCCAACTGCAGAGCTGCACTCCTAGCCCAAATTCAGTAGCTCTACTCACTGGAAAGATCTAATAGGAGCCTAACAGCAACTCCTGGGCTCCATCGAGGACCCCAGGGCCTACAGTTCCCAGGGAAGTAGTTCTCAGAATGCTTGCCAGTGGAAACTACTGCTCTACTGAATAGACAAAAAGCATTTTTTCATAAAAAACCACCACACATACTCAAAGAAGACAGTGAATACTTTCTTTTACCCAAATGAAGTCCCCATCTCTATTTTGTCACAGCAACTCACTTTCTAGCAACCTTAAGAGACCTGGGCTCAGCACTTCCCAGTAGCCTTTGACTGTCCCTCCGCACTTGCTACTCAACAGCCAGTTCACAGGCAACACAGGCTATTTCTCTGTAACGTATCCCTGAGCCAGACACACCCCTCTCTGGCCACTAACAGCCTCCCAGGCATCCCAGCCTGAGACTCTTTCCTTGGCCCCAAATCACACCATGCTGCAGGTTAGCAGTCTTCTTGAAACACTGTTTGCACTAGGACTTTTAAACCTGCAGAGGCTTCCAAATCCAGACTCAGGATCTCAAGGCCTTCCAGAATTTGGCTTCCCTCGCGTCACTTTGGCCCACATGTCTGTTTGGACAAACAGATGTACTCCCTGGCCCTGTGTGTCATCAGAGCTTATGTGGCAATGTTCCCTCTTTCTCTCTGCTTACAAACCTGGCCCATTTGTTAAGGCTCAAGGTAAGAGGCTCTCACCCACCCTCCTGTCCACTCACTCCAGAGAGCTTTGAGGGTAAGGTTCAACAAGTCAGTAAGATTATAAGCTCCTGCAGGCCAGCTCATTAGCTTGTTTTTCTCTCTCTGAGCACACAACAGTGTAGCACTAAATGCAACTGTAAGTCATTTTGTCAGCTAACTAGGGAATATTCAACAACAGAGTATCTGATGAGTGAGTAAGACCCCACCAGCTGAAGGTTGGCAGTATCTATCTTCCACTGCCTCTGTAACTGACGATTCCTAACCAGGAGGGAAGATGCTCAGCATCTGACACAGCTCGTACAGGCTGACAGAATTGTTTTCATGGGTGGGCCACGTAATTTCACTGGCTTACTGGACGATGGCCCTCAGATTTTGAAAATCTATGAATACTAGACCTAGGGAAAGAGGTTATGCTGAACCACCGAGCAGTTTTGCGTTTGGAGCCACGCAGGGCTTGGTTACCATTCCAGCCATACTGCTGGGCCATAGGGCTGTGTGAATCTGACAACCTCGGGGAACCACACTTCCAAGTCTATCTCAGATCAGGACGCTGAGGGACTTAAATGATAAAATGTTAAGTGCCAAGTACAATGTCTGAAGTACATGAATAAAAGCTTAGCAACAGAGGTTTCTTAACATTCTTATTACTATCAAAGGATGAAATTAAAACAATTTAGTTTAATGACTTTAATTGGTTTTATTCTTCGCTGTTCTAGAATTGGATAACATTTCATTCCACAAAATAGAGTAAGTATTCAAACTGCTGAGAAAAGAAGGGCAGAAGAAAGCAGACATAAAAACGAAAACATAAGTGACCTGGTTATGTCAAAGCTACTTTCCTTGTAAAGAAGGAACAGGGAGACATATCAGGGAGAACGCTGACAGCTCAAGGCTGGGTTATGTCAGTGAGCCTTTTCTGTTGAAGGGTTAAGGAGCGGGAACTACATTATCATGCTGATCCAAACTGGGCAGGTGAGACCATCTGGCTGTTACCATCCTAATCTTGATTTCTTGGGTCAGATAAATAAGTTAACGAAGTGAAATTTAGCATGAGTGATTCCATTTTGATCTTTTAGTTTGGTCTGCTGGGGCCCAGTGCAGCTTAATCCAAAATAATGGCCTATAAGGATCAAGAAAACCAACAACAACAAATGCTGGAGAGGCTGTGGGGAAAAAGGAACTCTCCTGCACTGTTGGTGGGAGTGTAGACTGGTACAGCCTTTGTGGAGATCTGTCTGGAGGTTTCTCAAAAAGTTGGGATTGGAAATCCCATTTATTCCAGCTATTCCACTTCTAGGCATATTCCCAGAAGAACTGAAAGCATCATACCACAGGGATATATGTGCACCTATGTTTATAGCAGCACAATTTGTAATCGCCAGATCTTGGAAACAACCCAAGTGTCCATCAACTGAGGAATGGATAAAAAAGTTGTGGTATTTCTATACAATGGAGTATTATTCAGCTATAAAGAAGGATTGCATTGAGATATTTATCAATAAATGGGCGCAGCTTGAGACCATACTCATAAGTGAAATAAATCAATCTCGCATGTATGAATACCGAATAGTTTCCCTAATGTAAGTAATGATTCAAATATATAAAAATATGTGATAATCATGATTCCCCATTACGTGGCCTTGAAGCCTTATAAAATTTTCACTTATTAATTAGAAAGGCTTTACTCTGGGCTTTTTGATATGGAAATATTTGAAGCTATAGTATATGAAGTTTTATCCAAATATTTTAAGGAAAAAGACAGACACCATGGTAACTACTATTCTTTAAAAAAAATTATTTAGCTATTTCTTATGTTTATTTTAATTAAGGGAAAAACTTAAAAAATTAGGATATATAGTAGTAACTCTTTTTGATCTCCTATTAACTTGTTTTGAAGTCCTGTAATACTCCCAAGATCTTGTTTTGACTGATTAGACTCTGTTCCATTCTGTGCGACAGTAGCAAGTTTGAAGGTATAGGCAACTAATTTGAAGGCAATAAGATTCACAAAGATGCCCATTCTGGTTTGACTATTGTCTCCTTTGGAAGTCCTGCAATGTTCACAATGCCTAAGTTTTATTGGTCTTGTTCTCCACTGTTTTGTCCAACTTTATAATATCTAATGAGATAGACAATTCCTTTTAAGGAAACAAGAGACAATGTTGATAACCATTGTTGATGACCTTGTACTCTGTTCTACATCATGTGCTATGTCTATCCTTGGTTTGGACTTACAGCTTTGTTTTGCCATATTTGACTTTATTATCTCCCCCCCAAGAGAGTAATGAGAACTGAGGAGTAATAAAATCCAAAATGTGTAAATTTTGTTATAAAAAAGAGAGGGAGGGAAAAAAAAAAAAGAGCTCTAACGGATATAACAACAAGTGTGTTTAGGGATGTTAAATAGCTGACTATATTAATGTTTTTGGATCATTGAACACAGCTGTTTGCAGTCTCTCCGTTTGAATGTCTACTTTGTATTCTTTGATACTGTGATTTGAGCAACTATTTCCAAGATGATATTATGTAATCTATTAACAGGTGATTTCTTACTGTTATGTTTATTTTTTTTTTTTTGTAGTTCTGTATTATGTGTAACCTTACACTGCTTTGTCTTGTTTTGTGTTTTTCTCTTTTTCCTCTTAAATAAAAAAAAAAAAAAAAAAAAAAAAATAATGGCCTATAATTTTGTTTAATTCTACTACAAAGCATTTACTACAAAACACCTCTTTCATGATATATATTTTGAATGATAAATTCAGATTTGGCATATTATCTTTCTCTAAAAGAAACTCTTTGTGACATATTCATGGTTAGGTCAGTCAGCTAGATCCGACTCTAATGGAGTGCTTTACCCAAGAGCCTTGCCTGGGGGGAAATGGTGGACACTTCAGGACCGGGCTTCCTGACAAGTATGCGCTTTTCAACAAATACAGAAAAGGAAAGACAGAAGTGAAAGAAATTCACTGTTTTCAAAGGAAAGTACTTGCACCCCTATATTTTCATGACAAGTCTCTCACATCACACCTGAATGCGAGGGCAACAGTGTGACCCTCTCAGGGAGCCTGTGCAGGGAGAAGGATGCGCTCTGAGGCACAGGAGTTTGCAGAAACCAAGTTACTTCCATTCTTATAGTTGGTTTGATCATCTTTTTAAAGAAAAGAAAAAAGAGGGCACAGGATATGAGATAGCCATCATCTCACAGCTGTGGTGAAGAGGAACTGAAACAAGGTGCCCAGCAGAGTTGAGCAACAGAACAGCTTTCTGCAGCTAAAAGCACTTGACAGCTGCTGCAAAACTCCAAGGCCTCCCCCAGCGTGCTCATAATCCAGCTGGAGGGAGTCACATAGCTGTGGCCCTGCAAGCAATCTGCAAGTTACATCATCGCGGCACAGTCTGCCAGTGTTCCGGAGTGAAGGAAGGTGCCTGGGCACTAGTACAGTAAAGAGCTTACTGAGTCCCAAAGACCATTTTGCGCCTGTCAGGGATGGACTAAGAGCCAGTAAGGCAGAGAGGATGAGCCATGTGGGCAGAGGGGAGAAACAGCGAGGCTGGCAGGAGGTGCCCTGCTAAGGACATGGCAGGAGGGCACGGGAAGTGAGCCATGAGCTTTGTCAGGAACTGCAGGGCCTCTTAACTTAAAACGACTAAGTTCAGTCTTGATGTGAAGTTGTGGCAAGTGGGGAATAGTCCTGTGAACAGAGGCATGGAGAAGTAAAATGGTGTTCAGAGAGGACTGACCTGATGGCAGTCTGAGAAAGACCAGCCTAGGTGAGGGAGGCCACAGCAGGGCACCATCACCCCCAAATCACGTCACTTGGGAGGAATCAGGGTAGCCTGCGTACCACTGCAGAGGAAGGAGAGACGCCAGAGGCCTTGGCACGCCGGTCTAAGGAGCACCCGAGGCGGGGCTGGGGGCGCAGCTCAGTGGAGAGCACCGCCTGGCCTGCACGCACTGCGTTCCATCCCCACAACCACAAAAAGGCAGGAGGAAACCGCAGCCTGGCAGTGGCAAGGGAGGTGGCAGCGGAGCCGATCTGACAGTGGACGCGCTCAATGTACTGAAAAGTAAACAATAATACAAGGGGAAAAGGCCTTGGACATTTTAACCACCTGTGACGAAGGCCGCGTGGTCTTCCTGCAGGGAGGGGAGGCTAGGTAAACCTTAGCTAACTGCTCTGCTCTTCCTGTTTAAGCACTACAGAAAAGGACTTGTAGAATTTCTGAATAATTTCTGTGTACTTCGGAGACCTATTAAGACGAACGACAACCTTCTCATTGGTAATATTCTAAGTGTGACTGGAATACAACGATGTCCTGTGCAAAACAACTGAACGTGGGAAATCAAAGTAACTGAATTCTTGCATTCGCTTCTGAAGTGTTTGCCACAGGCCGCCCTGAAAGGGCGCAGACTTTGTCACCCAACACAGCAGCTAGTGACTCGGCAGGGCTGGGACAGGCAGAGCAGAGGGCCGCGGGGAGGCAGACACACGGAGGCTGGCGGTCCTGGACGGGCTCTGATGTTTAACCTGGCATGCCTGCCTCCGGAGGGCAGTCAGAGTGGGGCGCAGGCAGGGCTGCCTGCGGTGGCCGCCAGAGGAATGAGAGTGGGGACGGTGTAGAAGGAGCCTTCGGGCACAGGACGGGACCCAAGCAACTGACAAGAAACCTTGCCTCACCTTGAGTCATCGGTTAGTAAATCAGATTTCATACCAAGAAGCAAGTTTTAAAAATGGACTCTTCCAGACATACATGCAACTAAGCAATGACTATAAACTGAGCTAGGCTTTACTGCCGTCAGGATGTGTGGCATAGTTCATGCACTTTATGCCAATCTCAATGAGAAAAAATGACTACGTGTTCTTGGTAACAGAGTTTTGTGTCATCTGGATGGAAATGATCTGTGACAATCACACAGCTTAACGGTTGTGAAGGACTAGAAGTGAAAAAGCAGACAGTGAGAAAGCAGGCAAAATTAGAAAAGAACAGGAGGAGCTAGAAGCAACTTGTAAGGGGAAAGCATGGAGAAAACAATAATAACCGAAACATGAGGATTCCCAAGCCTGGTTTGGCAAAAGCCCAAAGTATTCCTGATAGCCTCGAAAAGTCACAGAATTCTTAAACTCAAAGCCAAACCAGTTTTACATCAATTTAATTAAAATATGCCTTTATGGAACTGTAAGAACAAAGACACAAATGCCAGTCAATCAAATACCAAAGTACAGTAATGAAATTTCAGAAATATTAGGAAGGACTAAGACATAAGACAATCATGTTCACTTTTAAAATAACTTCCACATAAACATAAATTACTGACAAACACTAAAGTTTTTCTTTATAAACAGACTTCTCTTGGAAAGATTTTAAAAGGTTTCTTGGGTTGTTTGAACAAAGAATTCAGTGCAGGAAGCTGCTTTGGGGAACTGGCATCTGAGTCCCAAAGCCTCACCCTGCGCCACCCCAACTTTAATCCTAGTGCTCATTAGGCAAGCTGCCCTGCCAGTCTCCGGAAGAGTGAGAAGAAGCCTCCTGATCGGGAAGGCACGACCTGTCTGCGAAGTTCAGTCACTGGAAAGGGTGGAGCGTGCAGAACAAGTTCTAGCACAAACCGAGTCTGAGATCAAGGTCCCATTTGTGCCGGTTCAGACATCATCACCCAAGAGCCCAGCCCTGAAAACTGACACAGTCAAGAACAGCACACGAAAACATTCACCCATGACTTTTACAGCCAAAATAATGTTTACATGGACAACAGCAAGTGCCTTCTTTACACTTAAAACTCAAAAATAAATGCAGTTTAAAAGACAGCTACAAATAATCTCAAGGTGTAGTTAAGCGACTTGGCACCTCCATGCCGTTTCTCTGCTTCTTTCTGCTCCCACCTCGATGCCTCATAATTTGTCCCCGTCTGAACTAGAATCCGTGCCATCACCCTGACCGGCAGGGAATCACGAGCGGCCACTGGTAGGAAGGGACGGCGGACTGTGTGAGCGGTTTTCGGTAAACGTGGAAGTGCCGTAAGAAACAGTGAAGAGCCATGTAAACACACGGTCTGTATCTGAATGTTACCTTCATTTATTCTTTAACTCTCTGTTGTTCGGGCTAAACACTAAGTGTCCCAGTCAGTGAACTGGCAGTCCTGAGAAAGACTTTTGTAGCTACTCAAAGCCACCAAACTGTTCCTTTCCCCTTAGCGAGGAATTCTTGCACAAAATAAGCAAATGGCAGGGCCACAGGCACCCACCTGTACTAGGTCCTTGGCTCCAATAACTTCCCTCCTCCAAAATTCATAAGGGGTCAAAAGTGTAAGATTTTTAATGAAAAAATAGTTTTCTAAAACTTATTCAGCCTACATTAAATAAAATTAATTGAGTTCACAATATATAAATGACAACTGAGGTGACTGAAAATGGTAATTTGGTTGTTAAGTATTTTAATAGAAAAATATAAAGAATTGCACTAAGTGCTAGGTAATCTATATACCAGTATATTTATTTTAAAATCAAATAGAATATGTGAAATAAAATAAAAATAGCAGTATTAATTTCTTGACTCAAGCCTGGTTTAAAAGAAATGATACTGAGATGTTTTTGTAACATTCGACTGTGTCAAGAAACGGATGAAAAGACAGCAACACCTCACATTTGAGAAATTCAGAAAGCTTTCAAAAATATTAAGATGATTTGGACATCATCTGGATAATTCTGGACATGCTAACTACTCAACCAAACTTTGTACACAGGTACATAAAACTAAGTCAATTCCCTAACCACTTTAGTCTTCCTCACGACAGCCTGGGGATTAAGGTTAAGAAACAATCTTGTCTTTTCAACTGGCAAGTTTCGTAAGTAGCAGAGGAACTGCTTTCACAGCCCACTCAAGGTGTTATCATTTTTCCAAGCCACAGAAGATAGACCTCAAAAAAAAAAAAGACGATTTGTGAGAAAGAATAATGTAGAATAGCTGTCAGACATTTAGTCACTGTACTATGCAGAGTAGCTACTGAAGGTATAAATGAAACCCAGGTCAGTGAAAATAGGGTATTTAACATGGTCAATCTCCCCACCAAGTCACAGGCCCACTTTTAGAAAGCAAGTAATACTCTGGTGGAAGATATTCTAATGCTAGCAGTAAATTCCCACAGTTCTGAATCTTGTCCAAGTCCTATTTAATCACCAGAGAATTATTATTTTGAGGTTATTTTGAAAATGAACATTACCTGTCCTTTTCCACAACGACAGGGGTCGGATAGGACTGGTTGCTTTTATTGCCAGTACCCAACTGGCCATAAGAATTTGCACCCCAAGCATACACTTGCCCTTCATCTGTTAATACTAATGTGTGTGCGTAGCCACAGGCAACCTGGAAGGACAAAAACAAATCCTCTCAGGCCTATGAATAGAAGAAAATGTTTCACAAAGTGGATTAAGAATCAAAAATGAAAGAAAGCAGAGGCAGCCTGCCTCAAACACCCTTCCAGCACGGGCATGGGCCATGGCGGCCAGGACCGCAGAGGCCCAGAGGCCCACGGCTGCCCACGCAGCTCCTTCAGCTCTCAGGTCCATCCTCTATGCTGGAAACCAAGGGGTGTGAGCTCAATATGCAACATAGGTACATCATGTTTTTGTTTCTGATTATTTAAGTAAAACGTGCAACACGAGAAACAGAGAAGTATAAATAGGAGGTACTTTCAAGATCAGAATTTCCAGTCTTCTCTTTATATACAGACATGGAAAGAAGCACCTACAAATTCTTTAAATGATACCATAAAAGCAGCTCTTTCTTGCTTCTTTTTTCTTACCATTAAACAGAGCACCCTCCCATATCATTAAAAATTCTTTCTAAACCCTGTTTTCATCATACAGACAGCATCACTTATCTAGTCATTTACTTACTGTTTTGTTAAACTCTGCTACATCTATTGTCTTTTTTGGTTGGTTTTATGATTTTTTTTTCCAGTTTGGCTTTTTGGTTGTATCTTCATAACTAATTCTGAGAGACTTTTTCTTTGGTTCCTTTGAATCATTCTCTAGCAGTAGAATTATAAGCCCAAGAGATTTTTAAAGGAATATTTTTAAAGTTCTTAACACGTACTGCCAAAGACCATCTGAGAACAGCTGTAATAAGTTACGTTCCAGCAGCTGTGTGTGCCAGTGCCCGAGAAGCAGAACTTTTCTGAACAGTTACAACTTAATTCAGGGAAAAGGTTTTAGCCTTTATTTCAGTGAGGAGAGCCAAGCATCTAAACTTGGCATCCTGCTCAGAAAACTGTTTTTAATACACTTCTACCTTTGTCACTGAAGATCTAAAAACATCCAACACAAATCAGCCGTGGACTTACCCGCTGCACACGAATGCCCTGCAAAGCTGCTACTCTACAAGGGGTTGGTTGGTTGCCACTGCTGCCAAGTCCCAGCTGCCCATTCCCATTGTAACCCCAGACATAGACCTGGAGACGATGAGAAAAAGAATGGTCATGAAACACAAATGAAACATGCCATGCTTGTGTCACACTGAAATGGCAAAAAGACTTTTAAACAAAATACAAAATAGCTGTCTCACCTCCCCTGTGTCCACCACTGCCATTGAGCACATCTGCCCACATGCTATGTTCACAACCACTTTATTCTGTAAGCAGCCAGTGACTCTTCGAGGAATCGCCTGATTAGCTGTGGATCCAGATCCTACCTGCCCAGAGTTGTTATAGCCCCAGGCAAACACCTATATGGAAGAGATTGAAGAGAGAAGTCTATTATAGTGTCTCAACTGGACAGTGCCACGTACTTACGGCCCATCCTTCCTCTCAAAGTGCTTCAGAACCTGAAATTCCTACAACACTGGCAAAGGTTTTATAAGAATCATTCATATACAGTGTATTCTTTTATAAAAATTAGGTTCTTGGTGTTATCTACACAAACAGTAATAATTACCACCGAATACCATACAACACATAAAAATATCTACTCTGCCCCAGCCATATTCTCCAGCACTTCAGGATTTGCCTTTTTGTAAATAATCCCTTTGGTATAGCAATATGGAAGGAATAAAACATTCTCTTACATTTTGCAGTGTTGGAAGTCCTTACTTCATGCAGATAAACTTCATAATATTAATATGACTACCAAGAACAATGCTGAATTTGATGATTATTTTAATCAAATGATCAAACATCCAGGTTGCTAAGGAATCTATACAATGTTACTTCAATCAATGAGCTTTATGTTATTCTCACCTCTCCATCAGATGTTAGCACCAAAGAATGGTAAGACCCACAGGCAACTTCAGTGACTTGTTTGTTTGACAAATTAGTAGAGATATGAGAGGGCACTAAACCATGATTAATTGTCCCATTCCCCAGCTGGCCATACGCATTATGACCCCAGGAAAAGACTTCTCCTTCTGAAAATAAAAAGAAAGATAACCAGCACTTAAAACATCTACTTCATTATATGAAGACATATATTATCATACTTGAACAAATGAAAATTAAAAATCTAGCTGCAAAGAACTAACCAACTTCTCTATTACACCAAATTCATTCCATGAAAGAAGTTATTTGGCAAGTATAAACAGACCCCTTCCCAAAGCAACATGATAAAATTAAAATGCATGTACTTAAAATAGTGGGGAGCTATACTTTTAATAAGCAACACCAAAGGCCAAATGTCGTCCCAGCAATTGGGAGGCAGACCCAGGAGGCCTGCTATGAGTTCCAGGCCAGCCTGAGTTACACAGTGAGGCCCTGTCTAAAACAAACAAAAAAAACATAAATAGCAGAGAAAAAGCTGCTAAAAATAATAGAGAAAGTCAAAAGACTACACTACAAGGCTCATTTATGGGTCTATTTCCCTTTCTGTAAAATAATTACTACTTTGTAAAGTCTTTTTTATTGTGTTATTTATTAACCAAAAAGCTCATAAAACATAAATGTACAATTTTACAAAATAAGTATAAAGCACACATCCATATACTATTACTTAGGTTAAAAAGTAAATCCCTCCCACAGCCTCTCCTATAGGCATTTCACATAAAGGAATTTAGTGTTTCCTGGTTTTGAACTCTGAACAAGTGGATTTCAGACGTATGCATCCATTTTATCTGTATTTTCCACTACATGTCTCTGTAGTACATACTGAATAATTTCTTCTGATCAATCTTCCAGTTTATTGATTTTTGTGATATTGAAATGGCTACAGAACTTGTCCACTGAATTTTCATTTTATCATTATATTGTTCATTTCAGTCTTTTTCAAAATTTCTATGATCTCTGTTATCTTTGAGCTCACTTTTTTTTTCTTTTCAAACAATAAACATGGCTGCCTTGTACATGGAGCCTGATAATTCCAATATATATGAGACAGAAGACAAATACTTGGACCTTTACCCCAACACAACTGTTTTCCAAAGTTCAATACTGACATGAACATGTTAAAGTAATTGCCTATTTATTAATGAACAAATAGACAATAATGTTAACATGTTCTTCTCTGTTTTGTCTATGAAGACCATCTTACCAATATTAGACAAATGTTTTATAAAAGCAATGCATTTTACTTTTCTGTTTTTTTCATACCATTTGAACAAATAAACTACTTACACTACAAAAAAAAATTCTAATATTTAATGTTTGCACTCAGTTGTCTGTTTGTGCTTGCTTTCATTTGTTAATAAAATCTCCTGGAAGCCATTGGTTTGAGTTCCTGCACTAACCCAGGAGATCAAACCAAACCAAACAGAAAATGTGATGTTTATCTGACCTGCTGGGGGGTAGGGGGTGAACCCTTGATCAGGCCACATAAAGGATCTCATTTAATCCTTACAGCTCACTGGAAGACTCATTCTAGTTTAGGAAATGAAGTACTGCCTAGAAAGGCAAATTATAGCACAATCTTTAACCCTGTAGTAATTTTGTCTTTGCTCACTCAAGGTGACTTGTTTGCTGTATACCTGGTTATCTTGGACACCGTGTGGGTACTGCTAAAGAAGCATTACCTATGGTGATCTCACCAGGCCTCTGATGGAAGTACCTTCCTCTAGAAAGAATCTGTACTAATATTTATCCTGTCCTTAAAGCACTTACTCACCAGGACCTCCAACAAATTCATGGCTTCAGATTTCTTGGACCCATCAAACGGATGTGAATTAAATCACACATACTACATGGTTAGAAACGCTCAGGAAGAGTGTTTCTTTCACTTATTTCTTTCTCCCTCCCTGCCTCGCTCAGAGGCAGGAATTCTGTTCAGTCTCCGGGATGTGGCTAATATTTTCCCAAGGAAGCAGCCTCGGTGGCTCCAGCCGAGTGTGCAGACTTCTGTCACAGACCTGCTCCCTGTTGTCTCCCTAGCCAGCCCAAACCGCAGTTCAGTGTCAGTGCCTAGCAAGACGCGGCTTCAAGTTCTCCTCTAACCTTACTTGATACTTTCTCCTAAATTTGGTTTGATAATTTCTTTCTCCTGGCTGGTGCTATATGAAAAAATTTTTTTTAATTTTTCTACACCTAGAATTGTTATTTTCAATGAAGTGATGGTCTGAATAATCTAACCTGCTATTATTACTAGAAACCAAAAGTGCCTAGAATATAGTTTTTAAATATCAAATTAATATATAAAGGAATATGTATAAAATTTATTTTCACTTCAAATACTAATGAAATGAATACCAACCTCAAAGAAAACTCTAAGGTATAAAAAAATCTAAAATTTCACTAGTTTGATTCACTCCTCATGAATCAGCCATGAGAATATTAAATTTCTTATACAACTGTAGACATTGATCTCCAATGTATAAAGCACACAATGCTGAAAGTTTGAGGGGATGTTGGAATCAAAGTTTTGTCTCTCACAGATCAGCAACCTAGAGTTCAAAATTAGGTTTCCCATGGTCCAGAGTGAGTATACTGTTCTTATAGAGTAATTACACCTATAAAGTAAAAACTGAAGGGTTTATTTGGCTTACTATACTTCCATTCATATATCTAAAATAATAACCCCTAATTCCATTTGCTATATTACATTATTCTGCTATTCAGATAGATTCATTTCATGTTGTTCAATGCATAGGCAGGTTCACATGGCACAGCCAGCAAGTGTTCCACGCTCAGAAAGCATATTCTCCATTTCAGGGGCAGCCCTAGTCTTGTTTCTCAACAAACAAAGTAGCAGCTAAAACTCTCTGTCAAGTCGAGTTCCTATTACCTGTTGTTGCAAGGACGATGTGTGGACCACTCCCATAGCTGAGGCAAGCTATCTTTTTGTCACTTAAAGAATCCAGTCTCCGAGGCTCAAGCGTGCTCTGGACATCACCTAACCCCAGACAGCCACTGCAGTTTGTGCCAAGCACAAAAATCTGTGAGAAAAACCACTACTGATTCAACCAGCTCTATTTATGTCAAGCCTATACATAACATTCAAACAGGCACAGTCTTCCTAAAACAAACTGGTTACTTATAAATATATCAGTTTTCCATGCTTTTAAAAATTTATCTTTATTCCTTATTTCTCCCCCAAGATCTTCCATTTAACAACTCTATTACTAAAAATATGGGTGACTACATTTTACTTCATTTGAATAATTACCTCATCATTCACTGTGGTGTATAACACCTCATTGCCAGCACTGCCAAAGACGCAAGCCTGACGGATCACTTGCAGTTCCTCCTCGGAACACAGCGAAAAAATTGGCCACTTCCCCACATCTAACATCTTCAAAGATGGCACGGTAGCCTGTACTGACTGAAAAAGAAAAAACCATGAAGATATGGAGACTCTTAATTAAAAAATACACTTTCTTTGCTCCTCTCACTTCTGCAGAAGAGGGCTGTCCTGGTCATGGAGGGACATGTGCTGTCTCCCAGGTCTCTCACCATGGCGAGAATTTCCCTTGTGCCGCTGGTTTCAATGCTGCTGTCATGAACACCAGGCACCAGAGACCTGGATGGGGTCAGTCTCACTTATTAATCTTCAAGGGCACACAAATCACCCAAGCCTGGACTTTGGTGAATTCACTGTTTAATAAATACTTTCAATACTGGCTTGTACCAAATGTAGCCACAGAAACTAGGTGGGTTATAAAAGCAAGAAACGAGAGATGGGGAGAAAGGAGTACTGGCATTTCATCTGCCGCCTAACTCTTGACAAAAGTTTGTAAAAGAATGATGCTGAACTTGACACCAGGGAAACGGTCCAATGTTTCATTTCCTGGGCAAGCTATATCTGACCTTCTTTATTCTTAACTCAGCTTTGGGATTGTTAGAAAGAAACTAGATATATAATGGTTTGCCAGGGTAGTAACAAATCAATAAAAATTAACTGTCTAACCATTCTGGGCACTGAAAGTCCAAAATCAAGGTTAGCTACTTTGGCTCTTCCTGAGGACTGAGAAGGGAAGATCTATTTCAGACTCCACTTCTTGGCTTGTCTGTTCATACCATACCCTGTATGTGTATCTCTGTGTCCAAATTTCCCTTTTTATACAGTCATACTGGATTAGGGCCCACCCTAATAACCTCATTTAACTAAAGCAGTTATATCTGCAGTGACCCTATTTATAAATATCTGCCATTCGTAGGTACTGGGTATTCAGACTTCAACACTGAAGTGTTCAGACTTCAATCTATATTTACAAACTCATAGCAGCAAATATTAAGATCATCAGTATCTATATTCCCCTAATATCAAATATGCACATTATAAAATTATTTTAAAAGCTTTTTATTATCTGTCACACTAGAGTCATTTTTATTTATACATTTCATAAACAGTCACTACGCCTATCAGATAGCAGGTTTAGTCACTAGCCATGAGTTCGTTATCCCTGAACTCATGTTTGTTTTAACAATCAAAGACTTTCTAAGGCTTCTGTTTCTCATCAGCTATTAAATCAGCATTACTAGAAATGAGTTCTGCTATGGAGTTGAGTGGACTAACTACTTATTTTCTATAGATCTAGAAGAGTATTTGTTCCTCCTGCGTTAGGAGTCAGGCAAAGATGTCTATGAGCACAAGTCTGCAATACTGCTCTTCCAAAGACCACATAACTGACTTGGAAGAGGCCCTGTCCTCAGACTCCTCAAATATGGTTCGCAAAGACACAGAGACAAAGTCAGTGTCCTCCACATCACTGGAGCCTCGAAGCGGGCTTACCGTGGGAAGTGTCAGTCTGAACGGGTGGCCTATTTCCAGTCACAGCTTTCCTTCCCATCTCGCCCTCTGGAACACCAGCTTCCAGGTCTGCCATCTCCTCTTAGCTCCAATGGTTTCCATTTCTGCTGCACTTAGGTCATATTATCAAACATTCCTCTAGCCACCAAGTTCTCAAACTTTTCAATTCCCTTCTGACCCACAGTCAACAATCCTTAACCTGCATCCACAGTAAGTTCTGCAGGGAGTAGATGATGACTAGGAAGCATCAAAAGCTGTTCCAAGGACAATAAACTTACAGCAGAAGAATGCAGGGCTACCATCTTTGTACTGAAATTATGTTATTCTTTGGTAACCACAAGACATTGGTACCAGGACATGCTCAAATACCAAAATCTGCAGATTCTAAAGTCACTTATGTAAAGTGGTACAGTATTTGCATAACATATAGACATTGTCCCACAGACTTAATCATCTCCAGATTCCTGACAGTATCAAGCACAACACAAATATTATGTAAATAGCTAATATACTGTATTTTTAGGGAATGACAAGAAAAAACCCATAAAAAAAAATGATCATCACAGATCTAATTACACAGCACATGAATGAGGCTTGAAGCACCCAGGGTTTTCTGGGGAGAGATTGAAGACTTCTAAGATGACAGGAGGCTGTTGTAGCAGGGGCAGCCTATACATCACTTCAGGGATTCAGTGGCATGTGGGAAATTCAAGTTTTTCTACTGAGAATTTTCTGGAGTTTCCCACCTTCAATGCTTTTAATCTGTAGTTGGTTAAATCTGTGCATGTGATGCAGTTACAGAGGGCCAACCATATAACTTTGATTCTGTCTTTTCAGAAACTTGTTCATGGAACTAGTTAATGGTGTGTGTGGCTAGAAAACATTCTGACCTTGCCCCCCAAGAAAGCAAAAGTAATTTCCCCATCAACTGCAGAACGGATAAAAAAGATATGGTACTTTCATGCAGTGGAAAGCTACCCAGCTATCAATTCAAACTTGTACAGGTGAACCCTAGCATAAGAAACAGAAGGAATTATTGGGATCCAAAAGCAAAATAGTCAATGTAAGAGCAAAGGGGAGGAAATGCCTACAAGGGGAAGGTGGAAACTACTGACAATTTCTTATTGTCTTAACTTGAACTCTTGCATTGTTTACACAATTCTGTATTGGCTTTGTTCTGTCTTATTAGATTTTATGCTATCAGATGGGAGGGGCAGCTATTTTGAATATAATGGGATATTTTATGGTAATCATTTGAAGTCATAATGCTTTTATTCATTGGTTTGGTTTTATTCTGTTTTGTTTGATTTTATTATATGTGATAGTATGAACAATTATTTTGAAGAAAATAAGACATTATGGCAACTATTGCTGATTTACTATCATCTTATTTTGAAGTCCTACTATGCTTTTGTTCTTCTGTTTTGATTGTTTCTACCTTGTTGTGTTTCATTTGATTTTATTATGTGTGATGGTATAAACAAATTTCTTAAGGAAAATGAGACAGTAGAGTAGCCATTGTTCACTTCCTGTTATTTGGTTTTGAAGTCCTGTAATTCTTTCATTCTTTTGAGTGGTTTTATACTATTTTGTTATATTTGTTATTAGTGTGTGTGAAGGTATGCTCAACTATTTCGAAGAAAAGAGACATGGTAGTACTGTTGCTGTCTTGTTGTGAAGTGCTATGTTGACTGCGTTGTTCTGTTCTGATTTGCTTTGTTCCGTTCTCTTTTGTTTTATTCTTTTAAAAATAAAAAAAATTTTAAAAGAAGAGAGAATTCTGAAGACGATTTTATAGAAAGGAAACCTGAAAACGCCAGAGACCGACGTAGTGCACTGAACAGTGACAACCCCCCCCCCCATCTAAGGTTTGTATCTAGCTGGAACCTCAGAAGGTATCTTTATTGCAAATCACGTTGTTTCAGATATAATGAACTAAAATGAAGTCATACAAGATTGCAGGGGGCCCTAAATCCAGTGACTAATGTCCTCAGAAGAGGGGGCCACACTGAGACACACAGGGAAGAGGGTCATATGACAGTGGGGGCAGATCATCAAGCCTCTTTCAGACAGGACGCAGGACATGGCAAGGACTGCCAGGAGCTGTCAGAAGCAGCTGGAATGTTATTCCCCATTCAGAAGGAGCACAGCCCTGCTTAACCTCCCATTTCAGACTTTCAGTCCCCAAAACTGTGAAAGAGTGAACTGTTGTTTTAAGTCACTTGGTTTGTAGCCATTTATTGCAGCAGCCCTAGGAAACTAAGGCAGAGGCGAAGCAGCTTGTCCTGCCAACAGCATCACCTGGGAGCTGGCAGCCGAGCCTGAACCAGGGCTGAGCTCCCAACCCCATACTCCTCCTCACAGGGAGTCAGAGAGCCTGTGCCAGAAAGGAAGCCTTCTATCTTTCTTTCAGGTAGCAAAAAAGCATGGGTTTTCTATTCAATTCTGAAGAATAATTACTGTTTCTGCAATTACGTTAACTATGAGTATATTTTATGAGTATCATTGAGTATTCATTGCAAGATAATCTTAATTTGAAATCTACAGTTTTTTAAAAAAATCTCACATATACAGGAAATTACAAGTATATAAAAGTATAAAATGGTGTCCCATTTTTATTGTATGTATATTTTTAAAACACAAAGACATTATATATTTTATACAAATCTAAGAATCCAAGAACTTTTTAAAAAAAATTTATTTCTTCTCTATCAGACATTTTGTTTACCAGAAGAAATCTGTCCAAAGCCCCTAGAGAGCTAAAGATTGTGTTATGTTAAATTTTATTCTAAGCGTCTATTTCAAATTACCTACCTCTTTATATGATGAAGCAATCATATTTTTAGGAGGTCTATTTTCTATTTTTTTGTTTTCCTTCTATAAATTTCAAGAAAAATAAACTTTGGAAAACAGCATCAAGTATCAAATGTGGATGTATAGATGTTTTAGTTCTTATGTATTATTTCTAATGTCCACAACAGTCAGGACATAGATACTACTATTCTCCTTTACATCTGAGAAAACTGAAGCAAAGAATGACTAATCCTACAAGATCGCTAGGTTTAAGGCAGCTGAGCCCAGTTTAAAGCCGAGACTTTAGTGAAAAGTTCACATAAAATGTTGTGATACTGACAGCCCGAGTGACTGTATGCATTTGCATCTGCAGGGCTTTGGCTGTTGTTTCCAGAGTCCCTGAAGAAAAGGGGAACAATTCCTGCTGTGTTTCATCTTCCACGGGCAAGCAGCTGGGAAGATGCAGTGACTGCTACCTCATTTTGTTTGTGTTTTGTTTTTTGAGACAGGATCTTACTATGTAGTCTAGGATGGCCTCAAACTTACTATATAGCCCAGGCTGGCCTTGAACCTATAGTGATCATCCTGCTTCATCTCCTAAGTGCTGGGTCATTTTTTATTTGCAAGCAGATTTCTGGATTTCAGCTTGCCCTGCTACGGAATCAGTGGTTTTCTCCTATACAAGATAGATGTCTCTCCTAGTTTATCAAAAAGAACAGTTTGTTTGATTATGTTTCATGCCTATTATCTTGTTTTGTTTTGTTTTGTTTTGGGGTACCGGGAATTGAACTCACGACCTCACATTTGCCAAGCTGGCACTTATGCCCCTGAGCTAAAACCCCAGCCCCTCATGCCTATATTTTGTAATCTGAACGACTACTTTTAAAATAACAATAGTAGTATGCTAACTAGGGTTAATTTACTACTTTTTTTTTTGAAATTCTGTATTATTTTTATCCTGTTTTTGTTTTTTAAAATAAAAAAAAATCAGTGGTTTTAAAGATGCCTAGAATCAGATTGTAAATATCTAATCAGCTTTTTTTTTTTTTTTTTGTCTTTTTCTTTTTTATCGGTACCAGGGATTGAACTCACGACTGCCTGCTTGCAAGACAGGCGCTTATGCCACTGAGCTAAATCCCCAGCCCCCCTAATCAGCTTTTAAACACTTGTCTCAAAGGCATCAGCTCTGAAGTTTCATCCTGGCCCACTTGCACTACTGACTCTACCGACTACTTGAATTCCAACTATGTGGGTGTTCAACATAATCTGCAATCTGGACATTATTAAAGTATAGTACTGTTTAGGGGAATTTGACCTGATAGCATCACTGAATTAAAGTTATAAAAATGAAATATAATCATTCTTTTCAGGAGGTCACAACAGAATGAAAACAAATAATAACAAACCTAAAACACTAGAAATGTGACTATTTTGCTTTTCAGAATTTGTCAGAAGGCTGACTACTGGAGTGTCATCAAACACTCATTTTTTTAAGTCTATGGAGCACCACTACGGAGAGAACTGGTGACTTCATTTGTAAAAATGAAATAAATGAGTCTTGTGTGATTACAGGATCCCTGCACATTCACAAGACAATGTACCAGGATTCACCACACAGTTCTTGTGGGAGTCTCAGTCACCTGACAGTTACTGTGCAGACCAGCAGTCTCTGCAGACCCCTAAACATTCTGTGGCTGCATATCAGGAAGGGACTGGCTGAGCAAGAGCTGGGGATGTATAATGGACAGATCCATAGGTGTAAACAAGCACCACCACTACATGTGGCCCATTTCTCTTACCTGTTGCTGGCATCTGAGATATGCAAAGTAGTGAGATTTTATATTATCTGAAGGAAAATATAATAAAAGAAATACATTGTCCATAAAATTAGAGACCTTCTTAGTCCTTTGAGTATGATCCCTGTACTACCAGGCTTTGCATCAATATGAGAAATCCTGTGGATGGCTGTATTTCACTTAATTATAGACTTCTGTCCAGTTGTCACAATTCAACTCTAAAGATGGCTAGTTATAAAGAATAATTATATGTTGAGCATGCCTACCAAACGAATTTCTTAAAAAAGAAAAGAAAAAGGTAATGCCTAGCCTTTTGAGGATTTCCTAGCAATATACACTTTAGATGTAACAAGATAGTAATTTCACTGCTGACTCTGCAAATCCTTTCTTTTATTTTGTGAAATCCATCCTTCCCAAAAAAACACAGATTATTCTATTAAATTTTGTAAGTCTGCCAAGTCCTGTCAGTATTTTCATAAGCTACTTTTGAAGCTTTCAACAAGGGCTACAAATCAACTCTTAGCCTACATATGGTAATGCTGTAGTTTACTTTCAGAAGCTCTGCCATCTTCATACAATATGCTGGGTTTGTGTAATTAATTTGCATTTTGTATTGATTTTGACTTATAAAAGAGTGGAAAATTGACAAATGAAAGTGATGATCAATATTAAGTTGTTTAATGGTGATAAGCACAGATTTTATAAATTTAATAACATATTACCAGGTGGAAATCAATAGGCATGCTGAAAGAAGTGGAACTTTTAATAGCAAATGAACACTACTTGGCCTTAAGCTGTTGACTCCATATTCAGATGTGACGCAAAAGTACGATGAACTGGGAACTCACCTTCTAAGATTATGTGTCTTAGGACTTTTTAAAAGTCTCTGAGAAGGATCTAAGTATTGCTTATCTCAGAGTCTTTTGTACAATAGCATCATCTGCGACAGGAGGCCTATGTGCCTCAATGTCACTGTCCCCAGGAACCCCTTTTTTACCCCTCAACACTTATCAGTTCCCAGCTGGCCCCTTCAGAATCTACATCCTCAGAGTAATTATCAGTTGGCATCTCAGGCACTACACTGTGAGCCCAAAGGAAGATTCTATCTCAGTGATCTTCCTAGGAAGGGACTAAAAGATCCCTGATGAAGTATGTTTCATGCAACACAATGCACATGCTCCAGGGGCATGATTCTGTCTAACCTTGTCACTGTCTCCACAGAAAAGAGGAAGTTCTTCTTCCATATGGCCTCAGTCCTGTGCAGTCCCTGAGGAAAGAGTATGTGGTAGAATCAGGACCACATATGCTGGGTGAACAGGCAGGATAAAATGACTTGATTTCTAAGTTATGCAAGGTGGTGTGCGCCTGTAGTCTCAACACTTGGGAGGCTGAGACAGATGGATCATTTGAACTCAAGAACTTAAATCAGTCCAGGCAACACAGTGAGATCCCCATCTCAAAAAAGAAAAAAGAAAAATCACCTCTACTCAACAGGCAAAATAAGCTCAGATATCGTGAAAAGAATACAAGGGAATTAAGGTTTAGGCTCAGGAGTTAAACATCTGTAAGAGCCACAAGGTGTTGTCACTATTATGGACTCTTATAGAAAACATTCTGCAGAGCGCTAACAAGTAATACTAGAAAAGCTGTAGGTTCTCATATTGACAAGAAAATGAATAGAAAACATTTATTTCAGAGTTAACTTCCTCTGGATAAGGGAAAATAAATTTTAGACCTTGGTCAAATTTTCTATGGGATTGTAAAGTTCCAAATCACTGTGAAGAGCAGATTTATCAATTCTAAGATCCACTGAAGAATGTTATGATTTGTTAAGCTGGAAAAAAAACCGGAGAAACCAATGAAAAGGATGAAAGGATGAACATGGCTTTCTTATCCTAAACTTTAATCAAATAGGCCTGGAACAACAGCCAGCAGGGACGTAGCAACAGCACTGAATGTTACCGCTTCAATAACCATCTCCAGTGACTCCCTGCTACCATGAAGAAGTGACATCGGGGGCGGAAGTGGCATTGGAGCAGCCCTAGCAGACAATGTGCGGTGTCTGTGCGTTGCAGTTCAATCATTACCCAACTATCTCAAATATAAGTATAAATAAAATATTATCTTCTAAAAATTTAAATAAAACTATATTTAATAATGTTGATTTTTAAAATTTATTAGGCTGATTCCTTATTATTGAAATATAATCCATATTTCAAGTATTAACATTGGAACATTTTATCTGATACTTGCTAGAATAGTGAACCTTATACTTGGACAGATAAAAGATTAAAAAAAAAACGAGGTTGTCTTAACAAAGTTCCTTATCAATATTTTATGTGCCCCTAAGGATCTGAGTAAATTTTTCCTCAGCTATGTTTCTAGAATTTAAGAATAATGTATTCAAAATAACTGTAATTCAAACTAGGTTATTAGTAGCAAACCATTACTTTGAGTATTTGGAAGCAAGTCAAAAAAGACACACTTATTGTTTTCAAAAGGGTTAGAACTTGTTAAACAAAACTTGATCTGATTGGCAATATGGAAAGACAGTCTGTCATATTTAATTAATTCTATACATCATACCATTTTAGCAATTCTGTTAAAATCCCAATTTTCACTAAAACAGCATAACTGTCACTGAACTTTACACTGACATGGCCGATTCCAAATAACATGAACTCTTCTTCCTTTGCATTTCCATAGAACTTTTTGACTTCATTATTAACTTCATTAATACTGTTAATGTATAATCTCTTTGAATAAAGGACCACGAGTCATTTGCTGCCATAATCATCACAGCATACAATGAAAGCATTCTTAGGTTCTGATTTTTTGCACACTTAGGTTCTAATTTGTGTGAAGACTGCACACTCGAGATTCCTTTGAGTTTGTTGAATGTGTTGGAGGCAGGTGTTGGGGATCAAATTCAAGGCTTAATATATGTTGACCAACTATTCTATCACTGAGCCACACCTCCAGGCCAAGGATTTCTTTTTTGCCTCACCTGAACTGAAAATACCTTCTGCATGTCTGCCTCCAACATCAATGTAACAAAAAATACGACAGGAAACAGAGAGGACTGGGGGTACGGTAGCTCAGTGGCAGAGTTCTTGGCTACCATGTATGAGGCCCCGCTTCAGTCTTTCATAATTCAATCCTGGCTCCACAAAACATGGGGTTGGAGGAAGGAGAAGGGGAAAAAAAGAAGTGGAAGGAGAAGAATGAAGCAAAGGAATTCCAAAGCAAAAAGAAAAAGGCAATAACGAGTAAAGAGTAAGAGGAACCAAAGTAAAGAGTTTCTTTGCACTTAAACTCCTCTGTTCCTAGTAGAAGGAAGCGTACTAATAATGGGCTAAGACAGGGACCATTAATCCTGAGTTTTAAAGTGGGGAAATAAATGACTCTTTCATGTATTTGATCAATTTCAAGTATAATAAATTCTTCTAAAACTAGAATGGTGGCCATTGTATTTATTTGATCATGTTAAAACAGAACTACATGTGTCACATAGAAATTACCACATGCAAAAAAATGACTTCTATAAGATTTAATTAGCACTAGGTATAAGATTAACATAACCATGTTTGTAGATCACGAAGTCCAAGACTTAAAATTAACAAAGGATTAATTACTATTGTATGACACTAAAAAAAGGTGCTGATTTCTCCAGCTTTGTAGAAAATTGTTGGGTTTTTTTTTTCTTCTTCTATGATTCCAATGTGATACATACATAGTAAAAAATCTAGTTTCTCCAATTTGCTCTATTGCATAGATACTGTTTTTGGAAACTATAGTTTTCTCACTTTGTTATTTATGTGATTTCATCCAATTATTATCATCAATATTGTAACAGAATACTGACATATAGTTTTTAAAAACCCACAAAGACATGCAGAAAAACACATCCATGATGTGATAAAAATATATTCTAAACAATAACAGCAAAAGTTAAATAGTTAACCTCTGCCAGGCAGTAAGTGCCTGACAGTATCTCATTTAATCTTAAAACAGCTAAATGAACAATCAGAAGTATGAGATATAATTATTACTTACATTTATGAACATGTTTTCAATAAATCAACCAACAGTCACCAGCCAATTAGGATAAGGTCCAAGATTGATTCCAAAACCCCTGTTATTAGACCTTCTACTGTATAGCACGGATATTTTACGTGTTTCCTGTCTACATTCCAAATAAAATTATTTTGATTTGCTTGGAATGTTCCCTCCAAAAATATTTGTATCTGACTGTTTTATATTTCTGAAGCCTGGTATTTCATCATCAGTATTCCTGTTCCTGGTAGGTCCTTGTAAAGCTGAATTCTACAACAAGGTTAATGAATGAAAATACAAAAATAAATTGTCACAGGAGCACAAAGTATATGCTATCTTGCTATTTAACAATCTATTATTTTTCTGATAAAGTGTTTTGGAACTATCAATTCTATTATGGAAAAAAACTGCACTGCTCATTGAGAGGTGCTCAATTATAAGAATAATAAAATTCTGAAGTTAACTCTTGGATATGGCAATGCCAAAGATAAAAGACCCCATGTAATTCTACTAATGAATTTGTATGCTACAATTTTTCTAATGGTAAGACAATTTTCAAGACTTTAAGCTTAAATTCATAATCTATGAATGAGGAGATTAAAGTTATTCAGTTTTCAAAAAAATCTTTGAATCAGAATATTACCATTTTGATTTTGTCTTTACTGTGGACACAAAAGTTTAATAAAATTTGATAATTCATAAATCCTAATTTCTTTGCCATCTCTAAAATAAAATGTTATCAATAACAAAAATAGTATTTTAAATGTCATGGAAGAAAAATCCAAAATAGAGAAAAAAAACCCTTTAATGTTATTATAATAGGCAAAAATGTGTTTCTTATTTCTGGTCTATATCTGCTCACAAACTTCCCTTTTACAAACAGTAGGGCAACATTTCTTGAAGACCAAGGGCAGAGGCTGGCAGTTGTAGTAGCATGATTTTGTAATGTTGATATCACAGAATAAGATCATTCCATAGGATTTTACTACAGTATGATAGTAATATCATCTCATTATCCTACTATATATTACTTCACTGTTTTATTCCCTACCTGTTGGTTTTGGGATATATTACTTGGCTCATGTGCATGGTTACTCATATTAAAAGTTGTTTGTTAAAAAACAAACAAAACTTCTTTGTGCTTTGCACGAATAGCTTCTTATATATTTCTTGATTCTGTTTAAAAATAATAAAATGCTATTACAGAATCTTACTGTATTGCAATGCAGATAAAAGGGGGGGGGGATAAAGGATGCTTACCCCAAGCAGAAACAGCAATTACTGGTCTTTCTTTCAAGACTCTGAATTGGCATTACAGAGCCAGTATTTTTCAAGAGTAATTTTGCAGAACCACATGTCTACCAAGTAAGATTATGTCTGTATAACATTTTTTAGTGGTTTTTTTTGGGAGGGGGTACCCGTAATTGAACTCAGGACCTTGTACTTGCCAGGCAGGTGCTGTACCACTGAGCCAAATCCCTGACCCTGAATGACATTTCTTATTCCAGATGTTTTCCTAAACTTATATAGTTCAATAATTTATTTCCAAATTACTCCTGATAGGGAGATATAATTCTATTTGAGCACATTACAAGAGTTTATCCTTTAACAACTACATAGTTGAAGACTAGCACATAAGAAAATAGTCTTGGGCTGGGGATTTAGCTCAGCGGCATAAGCGCCTGCCTTGTAAGCAGGCAGTCGTGAGTTCAATCCCTGGTACCGATAAAAATGAAAAAGACAAAAAAAAAATGCAAAAAAAAAAAAAAAAAGAAAATAGTCTTTTAACAATGTGGCAAATAGGGACTGGAGGTCTAGCTCAGCGGCATAAGCTTTCGCCTGCCTTGAAAGCAACAGTCGTGAGTTCGATCCCCGGTACCGATAAAAAGGAAAAAACAAAAAAGAAAACAAACAAACAAAAAAAAACAATGTGGCAAATATATCCATTCCTAATCCACAAAAGTCAAGTAATTCATTTCCCTGTACAAGCATAAAACTGGCAGCCTGTACCACAGTTTGGTAAAGTAATTCATACTAATCAGTGTGTCTGTTGCACAATGTGCCATATTACTTGGTAATACCTCTGACCTGGAAAAGAAGTTAAGCTGATTACAGGACATACATTCACTTGCCTAATTCATTCAATAAATATTGACTTTTGTCTGAGGTAGGCACTGAGTGGAAAGCAAATATGTAAAACAGAAAATACAA